TACTTTTTGGATATCCAGCCCTTCTTGTTTGAGTTTCTGAGTTTTCCTTACGATATAATTGGTATCTCATTTGAATGAGCCACAAGGAAATGGAGTGAGGAAGTAACTAAGGAAGTCTGACCATTATGTACATTTTAGGAAAAACTCTGAAACTTTAAGTAAAGGGCGGGATATCCAAAAAGTACCACTCTATTCTTTAATTAATCAAAAACAGTTATGAAATAGAGGATAAAGTGGATGCTTGTGGTTCCACTAAAGAAGGAGGAGGTTCTAGATTTTGTGAAGAACTTATTCTCTGCATATTCTCTACCAAAGGTACTTGTCGATTATCTTGATGTTGACGCAAATTACCAATTAATGGAACAATTGCATTTTGATTTTGAAATAACTTAAAAGGAAGAACAGACCGACGAACTAAACTTGAAGTTAGCAAGATGCCATAAGGAGAATTCATGTCATAAAAATCAATGATCAAGTAGAGGCTCCATTCTGCGAAGAAACTTGATTGCGAATAGAAACGTGAGATTATTTCCCTTAAATTTTATAATTAAACATAGTTTTTCGGGAAAAATCCTAGAGGCCAATGCCCTATTGTTCAACTGACCATAGATTGTTTAACTGACCATAGTGGACCCTGAAGGACACCTCCAAATATTAGCGGATAAAGGGATTTTTGTGAGGATTAAAGGGGATATCGGTGGAATTTGTGCGGATTAAGAAGGTTTCTCGAGGACTAAGGGGGATATCGGTGGTTTTGGCGTATTAAGATGGATTTGTTTGAATCAAGGTGTGTTGACCTCTAGGGAATTGACCTCTAGAGATCGAGACATTTTTTCAGAAAAACAAACAAACCAAAAAATAAAATATCCAATGTATAATAAATTAGCAATAAGCATCAAAATTAATGCAAACAACATTTTTACTTCTACAGCTAAAACTTTGTCCTTCAAGTTTAATTGTCTAACACGTGCAAAACACAATGGATAACCAATTAAACAACATAAAAGTAAAAGAAGCACAAAAAATTTGGTTATTCCATAGTAAATGTTCTTCAAAAATGGTTATTATTTCAATACCTTTTGGTTAATAATAGAGCTTGATTCTTTCAATTTGGGGTTCGGTATTCGGGTTTTTTCTTTCAAGCTGACCCGGTCCAGTTGTTCTGTGTTAGAACCCTGAAAATTAAAACCCACAACAATCTGGAAACCCCTAAAAATCGGCTTTTATCAAAATACTCAGCTTACGATCTACTGGATCGGGAAATCCATGTCCTGTTATAGGCCCGGGTTCGAACTCTAGTTAATATTAAAAACAAACCAAATCGTTCTGATTAACAAAAACGGGTCCAGTAAGCTTTACAAATGAACTATTTTCATCATTTTCAGTATTATTCAATACAATATTTGTTCTAAAACAAACTGGCATTTGCAAAATTGGAATTACAATTGAAACAGAAATTAAAAATATTGGCCAATGAATGAAACGAAAAAATTGTTTAGTATATTCGTGACGGAATACTTGAGGTAATAAAATTGAAATAAAACGATTTAATGATAAAGCAATGTTTAGTTGATATTGGGCAAATGATAAAGCCCATACTGAAATGTAGAGTAATTGTGCGGGTTTGTTTGGGGTATCTGGAGGAAGGAAAAATGGAAGTACCTGAAAAAGGGGTTGAATTATTAAAAATTAAAATTTTTTGGTACGTGTGGGCTTTTCCAAACCAGATTTTCAGACGTCTAAAGGTATCATAATGGTCAGATAAAAGGCTCATAATGGTCAGCTATCACTTCCTCGAATACATTGAATAGAGAATGGGAGATATTCGATGCTCTGACCATTATGAGACCAGTATGATTAGTTTGGATGGATAACTTGCAAGCAAGGGGTATAATTCACAATTACCAAAAAATTTTTAAATTAAAAAAAAATTAAATTTTCAGCTTACCCATCCCCAATAAGAACATTTTTTCAACAAATATAAAGAATATTTTGTAATATCAACAATTCCAAGAGCAAAGAATAGGCGATAAAAAGAAGAATTAAAAGGATTTAAATGTCGGCGTTTATATAAAAAATATAGCAAGGAAAAATAAATTGGAAATGTAATAATTAAATTAAATAATGAACATAATTTGGTTAACCAAGAGAAGAAGTCAACAATTATATAAATTGAGGAGGAAGAAGAATTGTTGTTTTTGGTGTTGGTGGTGTTGTCCATGCTTTTCTAGATTCTATAAAGGTAAGGAAAAAAATATTTTTTTTGGTTAGAGTATCGTTCTTGAACACCTAAGGTTTTCAATTTTTAGGGTCTGAAAATCGGTGGGAAAATGTCTTAATCCAGGTTGGTCCTCCGGGTTTTGAGTACTTTGATAGTGATGTTTTCTGACATTTTTAATTTCGAAACACAAGAAAAGCTTAATTTCCAATGTGTTCATGAACGATACTCTTACCAGTTTTTTTTTTGAAAAATTTAATTTAAATAAGAATTAAAAAGGCTAATTTGTTAATGAATAAGTTATGAATAAAAAAATTTTTTTGAATTAAAAATGGGTCAACAATACTTGAACTCGTTTAGTTTTATTCAAGTCATGAGATAGTGCCAATATATTATGTACATATATAGCAGTAATAAAATTAATTTTTATTTGCCTATATGTGTATATAATTTTCTTTTTTATTTTTTTATTTTCACCTGTTTTGTTTCTGATCTTTTATTAATTGTAAGTAAGCAAAGATTTTTTTAGCTCGTTATATCATTAAAGCGCTTAGGCAGGGGGTTCATGATCTTTGAAATAGAGATTTTGTTAATACTTCCGATGGCGTAGTTGGTAAGCGCCCCGGCTTATTTTAATAACAGGCAAGGTTCGATGCCTGTATGGGGTCACGCTTTTTTCTCGATTCTCATTTTAGTTGTAAAGTATAGATTTAAGCAGCTTTTTTTATAAAAAAATTTTTTTATAAATAAAAAAAAACTTTTTTAAATAAGAAAAAATAGGCTAAAAGAGTATAAGCCTTAGACACGTTAAAATACAAAAATGATTACGTGATGAAATAATTATTTATTTTAACGGCTTTATTCTATAAAAGAATTTTTTTACTTTAAAAATACATTTTTAAAGCTTTTTTTGTTACTTATTTTTGTTACATTTTAATGAGAAAAATTTATGAAAATGAGAAAAATTTATTTAAAAATTAAATAAAAATACACGAACCACCAGCTTTTTTTAAGTATTTTTAACATAAACTATAAGGGAAAATATCAAAAAAAGAAATTTTTTGTTATTTAAAATGAGTAAAAATTTAATTAAAAAAAGTTTTTTAATTTTTAATGTTGCCCACATTTTGTGTCAAAAAAAGAACCTTTTTTTATTAATTCTAATAATGCTAAACAAATAAAAAATTAAATTAGTTAGAGAATGTTTCAAAAAAGTAGAGGAAAGTAAAAAAAGAAACTTTATTTGCATATATTTATTTGCTTAATTTAATTTTAAGAAAATAACAATTATATGTATTTCTTAAAATAACCTCTTATAATTAAATCAGGGAGAAATTTACTGTTTTTTGAATTTTATATTAAAAAATTGCAAATTTAATTTTATAAAAACGGAAATAAAATTAAAAATAATTATTGGAATTTAAAAAATATTTTTTACAGGTAAATATACTCATGGACTTCGCAAAAAACTCTAGAAACAACCATTTACTACCGACAGGCATCGAACTCAGGTCACATCAAAGTGAGAAGTCTATAGATTTAACCACTACACCAAACAAACAAATTTTCTAAATTTCAAAATGTCCATTTTACAAAATGTCCCTGAAAGGTAAAATTTTTTTATTTTCTCTAACAACAATCCTCTCTATTAAAAATCCTCTACCACCAATTAAATAAAAAGAATGTTAATAAAGGATTAAGCCAAGTACACGGTATGTGGGAGGATATTGAAAATTAATATATAAATACATTTTTTGTCTTTAATATTAATTTTTAAATACTACATTTCTGAAAGTAGGTATTTAATAATGCTAAAAGCTTTTTTAAAAATTTAACATTACTATAATTTTTAAATAAAATGTATACTTTTTATTTAATTAAAAAAGGCATTATTAATTATTAATTTTCTTGTGACTTTTGAATTTTTATTATTAAGGGTAAATTAATTTTTGGTAAACTATTTAAAGATTATATTTTTCGATAAATCATCTGCCATAAATTCCCTAATTGAACCACACTCCATAATATAAACACACCTTCCGTGGGGATCGAGAAATAGAGGCAAATGTGGTACTGAACTAAAAAATTCTCAAAATTGGGGATCTATTAGAAACCACTCTAAAAAATGTATATCCCAAAGTTTCAGAGACTTTAGGGATCTGTAAAAAATTCCTTAGCTATTTTTGTAAAACTACATTTTTTAGGAAACGACTAAAAATTAAATTTAAAGAAGCATGAAAAGCAACCACAAAAACAACAACAACATTTCTTTATTTTCTGATTATTATGATATTTATTATGATGAAAATAATAATATTGAGAATGAAAGTTTACAAAATTTGATCAATTCTGAATTTATTAATATAGAAAATATTGAAGTTATTGGAAAATTTGAACAAATTATGCTTTTGTGTTATTTTATTCCGTTATTCTTTATTGGATTATTTGGTAAATTTATTTTAATTTATAGGTTTGGGCACACCTTCTTAACAGTGGGTATGCCGAGACAAATTTTTCTCGAATAATTACCACCTTTATCGAGAGGTCGAAACAATAATTACCCAGGATAATTATTCGAGTATTATACATATGTCATTTGGGATTTTAAAAATATTTTTTTTTGATTTTTAAAAATTTTACGGTTTTTAGGTATTTTACCCTCTATTTTTTTATTTTCGGTTCAAACTACTTTTAATTCTCCAATAAAATTTTAATTTTAGGTAATATTTGGTTAATTGGATCAATTCTAAAATTAATTTTTAAACATTATATTCCTGCAATTATGTTGAGGCAAATGTCAATTTATATTTTAATGCTTGCTTTTGTTGATTTAATGGTTATTCTCAGCTTAATTAAAAAATATTTTTTCTAATTTTTAAAGGTGATTTTAACTATACTTCTACATCTTCCTTATATGATTACTGGCCAATGGAACTTGGGAATTTTTTGTTGTAAATTGTTGGTAGCTGTTGAAAATATTAATAAATTATTTTCTGTGATGGTGAGATTGTATATCTATTTTTTAATTTTTTATGAGAGATTTTACGGGTAAATTTTTCGGTTTTGGCCTGCAATGCCTAATCTTAAAAATTTTAAGGCGTTATTAGTTTGATTTAGTTGTATGTTGGCAAGAGCTATTTGTGGTGTAGTGGTAATATTCTTGAATTGCCCCACTTTCCATGAAGGTTCGACTCCTATGGTTTTGCAGAATCCATCTTAAGACAGGGTTTTATAAAAAAATTTCATTTTTCCTCATGTATATAAAATAAAAAATTTTTTTTTCTAGATATTAACTTGTATGTCTATTGAACGTTTTATTGTTGTTTGCCGACCATTTGAATATTGGGGTATTTCTGGATTAATTAATCGAAAACGCCAAATTTGTGATTCCTTCATTTTATTAACAATTTTATTAATTACTGTTGGAATATTTTGTTCACCATTTATTTATTATGCCAACGTTAGCCGTGAAATTTTTATTTTTTCTGATGGAAATGTGCACAAAGGAAATACTTTTTGTAGTTCTCATTTGCCTGAAAGATTAATGGCAAGTTTTTGGGGGTGATTTTAAAAATTAAAAAAATTTTCAGATGGTTTTTATTAGCTATATGGTATTTTTTGGATTTTTAGTGCCTTTTCCTGTTATTATATTTTGTTATGCTGGAATAATTCACCATTTGAGGAGAAAACCGAATGGTTAGTTTAAAGTTTATTTATTCCTAGTAATTCCCTTGAGTAGACAATTAATTTTATTTGTGTTCTTTTGTAAATGATTTGGTGTAGTGGTAGTGTTCCTGACTTTCCCTCTTTTCGACCTGGGTTCGAGTCCTATCAGTTTAAATTTCATTCTTTTTTCCTATTTTTTTTGAGTTTTTTTTTATTTTACTAGTCTATTTTTTCATTAAAAATTTTTTTATAGGCAATTTTTAGAGACAATTTTTCTAAATTTTTTTTTCAATTTTTTAAAGGATTTATTTCAACTCATTCAAAACCTGCCGTTCGCTCAATTCTTCGAGTTGTTATTTTTCATTTTCTTTGTTGGACACCATTTTGGATTTTTGTTTCTTTACCTTTACTTTCACATTTTAAATGGGTTAATATTGAACCTTTATTTGAATTTTTGCCTTTTATTAAACAAATTAAAATTATTGCAAAGTATGTTTTTTATAAATTTATTATAAATTTAATAAGAAATTTTTAAGTGTTTTGCCATGTGTTAACAGTGCATTTAATTGGATATTTTATGGGTATATTTATTTTATAATTTAATATTTATTTTTTAAATAATTTCGCCTATTTTTTATTATTTTTCGGTATAACCCAAAAGATCACCACTGTTTAGGTTCTTATAACAGTGGTGATATTATGGGTGATATTACTATATTTTTAACTAAAATCCTTAAAAATTTTTTTTCTAAATTAGTATGATGAATAGCCAACTCCGAGATTCAAATAATTCAATTGGAGGAGGTAGACACCCTTATATGTCTATAGCTATGTTGCCTAGAACTGCTTCATTTTCTAACAAAAGGCGTTCAACATCAAGATCAACACGTTCATTATTGGCAACTAGTCGATTATAAACAATTTGAAGATGGTTAATTGAAGGGAAAATGTGTAAAAAAGAGGTTTTAAAAAATTGAACTTTGATTATTTATTTATTTTTTAACACTTTAATTAAACAAATTTAAACAAAGAACGGATAAAAAGCATTTTAACGCTTTATGGCAACTTTTAAGACTTACCCCAAAAGATCACCACTAATAAAATTAGAGGGACAATGGTGACATTTTTTGAGAAGTATCATTTGTTTGATTTTGGCTTAAATTTGGTAACAAAAGAATGGAAAAAAGTGAGAGAAGTGTCAAAAAGGTTGTAGAAAAACTAGAAAAGAGAAAATTTAAAAAAATATATCAAAGGTTTTTTTAAATATTTTTTTAAATTTTTTAACAAAAAAATTCTCCAATGAACCATGTCCCCTCAAAAAGAAATTTTTTTATCTGATAGGGTTTAAATAAAAATAATATTTTAATATTTCCGATTAACAAAAATAAGCTTATTAAGTACAATATAGGAAAATACAAAAACTAGTTTATTTAAAAAATCCTTTTAAATAATAGAACTTTTATTTTTTCTATTGAAACATTTTCTGATTTAAAAATAAGGTACCAAAATATTAAAATGTTGTTTATACATTTTATTATTTTTTTAGGATCCTCAAAAATTTTTAAATTTATCATTTTCTAATTTTTTTGACAATTTTAGCTTAGTTTTTAATAAAAATCCAGTCAAAATCTGCAATTTTTTGAATCCAATATCGGCAATAGCCAATGTCCTCCTCTTCCCAGAGCAGCGAAACGGAGGAAGAAAAGGTTCAGGAAAAACCAAAAGTTCAACAAAAACAAGTTCAAAAATCTCCGCAAACAGAACGTCCTCCTTGGAAGCACAGGAAGAAGTCTCAAAAGGAAAGTCTAGAAGAGAAAAAGGTTGCTTTGGAAGAAAAATTGGCTAAAGAAAAACGAGAAGGATTAGCAGGATCTAGATTTAAGGTAAGGGACATTTTTGATGGGAGATTTTGTGGCAATTTTGTACTGAACTATTTTGTCCTTGTACCATTTTGCCATTTTGTCCAGGGAATTTTTTGTTTTACTACTGAGGTGGGTTCTTAATTTTGTGGGTACTAATCCGATGTTTTTATCAATAAAATTTATTTTTGAGATTAAACGTTCAAGCATTGATTTGGGTCGACGTCATGTTTCAACATCTAGCCAAAAAGATCACCCATCTAAAATTGATGAACAAGTTTCTCAAGGTAGCGAAAGTGCTGCTACTGTTGTGGAAAGATCACCACAAGTACAATTGCCTGGGCAGATTCAATCACCCACAGATGGGCGTGGAATGAGTATAAAGGAATGGAGACGTTTTTCTAAAGGGTATATTTTTTCGAATTTTGAGTTTTTCTAAATTTTGAATTGTGACGAAATTTCGTAAAATTTCTCAAGTTTCGAAAAATTAGAAACTTTTCGAAATTTCAGTGGTAGCAGTCTCGAGTATCCTCCAAATATCGAATTTTATCGAAATACATTGGAAAAATTGGAAAGTGGTTTAATTTCTGATGGACGTTTACCACCAACACGTCCTTCAATGATGGATTTAGTAGAAGGATTAAAAAATCAGCAAAAAGAAGAAGCAACACATCGTGACAGTCTTTTTAGTCTACAACTATTTAAAGAGCAAAATACTGAAATTATTGAAGGACAACAAAGAATTTTGGGTAAATTTAGAAGTCAACCTAGACGTTCGGAAAGTGGTTATTCAAAGGTTTTTTTGTCTTATAAATTTATATTTTTGAAATTTTTTTCAAAAAAGAAATCAATGTCCATTCAAAAACAACGTGAAATAACTACATCAGGTCCGGCAACATCAACAGGTAAAACTGTAACTAAATTTGGATGGATTGAAGGAGTTTTGATTCGTTGTATGGCTTCGATTTTTGGTTAGTCTTTAATTTTTTTATTTTTTTAAAAAATAATTTTTAAAGGTGTGATGCTTTATTTGCGTTTAAGTTGGGTTGCTGGACAAGCTGGGATTTGTAAGTTTTTATTTTTTGCGAAAATTGAAGAAGAAAATTTCCTTCAGTATTTGGCTCTTTTGTCGTTCTGCTTGGAACATTAATAACAGTAATCACAACTCTCTCAACTTCTGCAATTTGCACAAATGGACTAGTAAAAGGCGGTGGAGCTTATTTTTTGGTTTATTTTTAATTAAAAAACTTTTCTAAAATTTTTAAAAAAAGATAAGTCGTTCACTTGGCCCTGAATTTGGAGGGTCAATTGGAGTTATTTTCTCTATTGCTAATGCTGTGGGTGCCGCAATGTATTTGGTTGGGTTTGCTGAAACAATTAGAGACTTACTTAAATCACATGATATATCTTTGGTTTATTTTAATTTTTTTTGAAAAATTTCAAAATTTTTTTGATATTCTTCTGCATTATTGGTCCCTAGAAAAAAATGAGCAAGAAGAACCATTTAATTTAACTCGAAAAGGCGTTCCATCTTTTTGGCCCTAAAATTTTAATTACAAGTTCTATACAGGGATTCGACTTGGTTGAATGTCAAATCCGGGTCAGGGATTCGACCTGGTCATATTCGATTCCGGAATTCTAAAATAACATTTGAACTCATATTCGGACCCGGCATATTCGATTAGCTTTAGGCAAACCTCAAAAACAGGGAAGAGCACTTCTTGTTCATATTCTCTCTAGAGGCAAATGAAGCTGAAGATTACCAAAAATTTTTTAAAAAATTCTTTTTTCTAGTTGGACGGTGAAATAAACGATATTCGTATAATTGCATTAATTGCTTGTGCTTTAATTATTGTTGTTATTCTTGTTGGATTAAGCTTTGAAAGTAAAATGCAAATTATTTTGATGGTTTTATTGTGGCTTTCAATTTTTGATTATTGGATTGGAACTTTTTTGCCTCCTTCAGAAGATCAACAGAAAAAAGGAATTGTTGGGTATAAAAGTTAGTTTATTTATTAAAAAAGAGTATAGGGGATAATTTATTTTCTAGACAAATAATCCTCCGGAAATGTGTTTTTGTGAGATTTTCAATTATTTCCGAAAGGTTTCTTGTCTGGACGGTAAAATGTCCCGAATAAAATTTCAATTAATTAAAAAATTTATTAGTTGATACAATAAAAGAAAACTTTATGCCTTCTTTTCGTGATGGATACGATTTCTTCTCCGTTTTTGCTGTTTATTTCCCTGCTGCAACAGGAATAATGGCTGGGGCAAATATTTCTGGAGATTTAAAAGATCCACAAAAAGCAATTCCTCTTGGAACTCTTGTTGCTATAGGTTAAAATTTTGAAGGGTTTTTACTTGAAATTAGAATTTTAAAGGAATTACTACATGTGTTTATTTAATAATGGTTTGGATGACGGGAGCAACTACTTTAAGAGATGCTGATGGAATTCATTTACCTCATTTGTTAACACAAACATTTAATGCTAGTAAAAAGGTTTTGAATTTTTTTTAAATTTTTAACTCAAAATGTGGATGGATTTAAAATGTGACTTCCTAATTAATGGGGGTAACTTCCTTAATTTTCGAAATTGACATTTTCTGATTAACAGGGAATTTTTTTCTCTTTCCCCAAATCCCATAGAACTGATCTTTTGAGAACGGCGAATTTCTCGGAGGCTACCAATAGGACCGTTTATAAATTTGCTTGATATGGGGTTGGTCATTAACCTAACAAATTATTAAAAAAATTTTTTTATTCAACTAGTTATTTGAAACAACATCACTTTCTTCTATTGCTGCAACTAATGTTACAGAAAGCAACCACCTTTTCTCTTCAACACATTATTATGCTCCTCCCCAATGTTATTTAAAACATAATTGTTCTTATGGTCTTTTTAATTATTTTCAGGTTTTCTTTTAAATTTTGAAATTTTTTTAAAATTTTTTTCAAATAGATTGTCGAATTGGGATCAGCATTGGGTCCATTGGTCACTATAGGTATCATTGCCTCTACACTTTCTTCAGCTTTGGTTTCAATGGTTGGAGCACCTAAAATATTTCAAGTTAATTTTAAATTTTTTTAAATTATTAAAAAAATATTTTTTTCTGGCCGTCTGTCGAGATCGTTTATTTCCTTATATAAATCGTTTTGGACGTGGACATGGACCTAATGATGAACCAAGACAAGCATTGTTTCTGGCTGGACTTATTGCTGTTTCTGTTATTTTGATAGGTGAGGGAGATATTTGTTGGTAATTTTCTGGTTGTAAAAAATAATTAAAGTTCTGATACATAAGACAAAATTAGGTATTTTTTAACATTCTGATATGTGGGATCAACCCTTCAACACCCAAAAGGTTAACTGACCCAAAAGTTCTATCACAAATATTTGAGCGGATAGTGAAGGGTTTCTGAGTATTAAGAGGTTATCAATGGATTTGGGCGAGTTGAGATGAATTTGTTGGAAGTAAGGTGTATAAAACGGTAGTTCACTCGTGCCATTGTCAAAAATGACTTTTTCTTATTATTTTTCCAGGTGATTTAAATATGATTGCTCCTCTCATTTCCAACTTTTTTCTTTGTTCTTATGCTCTAATTAACTATGCCTGTTTTGATAACAGTTTTGCTCATTCACCAGGATTTAGACCTTCCTTCAAATTTTATAATAAATGGGTTTCATTAGCTGGTTCTTTAATGTGTGTTTTCTGCATGTTTATAATTTCTTGGTGGACAGCTTTACTTACATTTTTCTTTTTTGTTGCAATTTATATTTATGTTGCCCATAGAAAACCTGGTATTTTTTGATTAAAAATAATTTTTTTAATTTTTTAAAGACGTAAATTGGGGTTCATCTGCACAAGGTTAGTTTTTTAATATTGAAAATAATTAGAGTTCGAACCCGGACTGGAGCCGGAGGTTTTCGAGCCCGGAACCGAGTAACCAGGTATTTTATAAAAAATCCGATTGGGTTCTATTCCGGAAACCCCGGGCCGGGGCAGCTTGAAAGGAAAAGTCGGGTAACAAGTCAATAATTTGAAAAGGTCGAACTCTGAATTATCAAAAAAATATTTTTTAAATAGCTCATTCTTATCGAAATGCTTTACAATATGTCTCAAAGTTGGAACGGACAGAGGAACACGTAAAGAATTATCGACCACAAATTCTTGTAAAATATTTAATTTTGTTTAGAATTTTTTTGTTAAATTTTAGGTTTTAAGTGGTAATCCAGCATCTAGAGCAGGACTTGTTGATTTTGCCTATTCAATAACTAAAGGAAATAGTCTTTTAATGTGTGGATATATAATTCCAGTTTATTTTTAATTTTTCTTTAAAATTTTTTAAAATTATTCCAGTATAAGCCTTGCAATACAGTCTTTACAATGTTACAAACCTTCAACCAACAACTGCGCGATTGGTTTGTTTCTCGCCACCTTAAAGGGACATTTGCTGTTACTGTGGCTAATCCAAATTTGCGAGCTGGTGCTCAAACTCTGTTACAAGTTTTTTTTTGAAATTTTCGAGGAATTTTCCTCTTCCAAATTTAGATTGCTGGACTAGGTAAACTCCGCACCAACATTATTCTAATGGGTTTTAAACAAAACTGGGCACAAAATCGTTCACCTGAGGGAATAAATGAAATGATTGATTATTTTGGATTGATACAGTTTGAATTTCTTTTAATTTTTTAAAAAAATTGAAAAATAATCTTATAGGGACGCTTTCGATTTGAATATGAGCGTGGGTGTTTTGCGCAACTCAAACAGAGGATTTGACATTTCTGAGCTTATTTTAGAGACTGCAGAGGAACTGAGGCTTCATTTAAAACAGCGTGGTGATACTTTAAGTACAAGGTATAAAATAATTTTAAGCTAGAGTTTTGGCTCTGGACTAGTTCATGTGTCCAATGAACCTTTATGATTGTAAAGGAGGGCAATTCCAAAATTATTATCCCTCCTCTGTATAACCCATAAAAATACAAACCTCCTCTGTAGGATTCATAAATTTTCATGGACCAGAAAAGTTCATTGGACCGTAAAGATTCATTACTCTTAAAGTTTCGTTAGACGCATAAATCAGACTAGAGCCATATTTTTTCAGAAGTTATCCTTTGGAAAGTCACCCGCATCAACGTCAAAGTATTAATCAACAACAATTTAAACCTTCTGTCCATAATACTTGTTCTTCTCCACAACTTGGAATTTCTTCAAATTTTTCTATTAATCCACGTCAAAAAGCTCGAGATTTATTTTTACGTTCATTAAGTCATAAAGGAGGAGAACAACAACAAGAAAGAACTTTTGATGGTAAAAGTGCACAAAGTGGAGATACAATGCAAACAACTTTAGGAGGAGGAGGAGGTGATACAACAACTAATTATTCACCTTTTACAATAACACCAGTTAGTAGTTGCTCTGCAACTTTAAAAAGTAAAAAATTTGGTGGAGGAAAATTGAGAAAATTGTTGGGGGCTTCAAAATTAAATTTAAATGGAGAAGATATTGAACAATCAAAGTAAGAAAAATTTTTGAAAATTTCTTTAGAAAAATATTTTATTTCAGGGAAGATGGAGATCAATCTTTAGGCAGTGCATTTCAAACCCTTCCACTCCCTTCTGATACTTTTCGTTTTCAAACACGTGTTAAACAAGGAACAATTGATGTTTGGTGGCTTTATGATGATGGAGGATTGACTTTATTAATTCCATATTTGTTAACCAAAAAGGTTTCTTTTTTTATTTTTTAGGAGAGAGGGAGATCAACTAGAAGATCGGCCTGGATCCAGATCTTGGTTTTCCCTGGATGCAGAGTCAAGATCATGGCATTTTCCAGTGTTCCTTGATTTTTTCTTAACTCAAGGCCAAAAATCTGGTTAAAATCCACAACCAAACCCAAGAATCAAGTGTTTTTTAATTTTTCGATCTCCGGAGTCATCCAAGAAATTATTTCCAAAAAATTTTTTTCCTTTAGGGCAGCTATTTGGAAGGTGCCAAATTGCGTGTATTTACATTAGCTGGTGTTGGAAAAAATCTTCAACAAGAACAACAAAGTCTGGCTACAATGTTACGTAAATTCCGAATTAGTGCTGATCAGGTCAATATAATCCCGGACTTTACTAGCAAAAAACCTGATCAAAAAAAGTTTGTGAAGTTTTATAATTATAAGATTTTTTAATTTTTTAGCCTTGCCAAATTTGAAAAATTGATAGAACCACTTGTATTGCGTACTAGTAAAAGTGAGGAATTTGCTACAAGCTCTTCTGTAACAGTATCTTTAGGAGGAGATGGAGAAGAAGATAGAATACAACAAGAAGAATTTGAAGATGAACAACAACAATATAAAGGTTTAATAACTGAAACAGAATTGGATGCACAAAGAGAACGTACTTGGCGTCAATTACGAATTGCTGAACTTTTAAAACGTTATAGTTCTGGTTCTGATTTAATTGTTGTGTAAGTTTTTATGAATATTTTTAAGAAAACACCACTGAACCCCTACACCCTGAAGACAAACTCTTAAATGCTTATTGACCCTGAAGACCTACAATTTGTGGGTACTCTTGTGTTATACATCTCCATTTTTATAGCTCCATTTCCTATTTTACAAATTGTAAAAACTTTTCCGGAATTTAATAATATATTTTACAAATTGTAAAAACTTTTCCGGAATTTAATAAAATATTTACAAATTGTCAAAACTTTTCCGGAATTTAATAATATATTTTACAAATTGTAAAAACTTTTCCGGAATTTAATAAAACATTTTACAAATTGTAAAAACTTTTCCGGAATTTAACAAAACATTTTACAAATTGTCAAAACTTTTCCGGAATTTAATAATATATTTTACAAATTGTAAAAACTTTTCCGGAATTTAATAAAACATTTTACAAATTGTAAAAACTTTTCCGGAATTTAATAAAACATTTTACAAATTGTAAAAACTTTTCCGGAATTTAACAAAACATTTTACAAATTGTAAAAACTTTTCCGGAATTTAATAAAACATTTTACAAATTGTAAAAACTTTTCCGGAATTTAACAAAACATTTTACAAATTGTAAAAACTTTTCCGGAATTTAATAAAACATTTTACAAATTGTAAAAACTTTTCCGGAATTTAATAAAATATTTACAAATTGTCAAAACTTTTCCGGAATTTAATAATATATTTTACAAATTGTAAAAACTTTTCCGGAATTTAATAATATATTTTACAAATTGTAAAAACTTTTCCGGAATTTAATAAAATATTTACAAATTGTCAAAACTTTTCCGGAATTTAATAATATATTTTACAAATTGTAAAAACTTTTCCGGAATTTAATAAAACATTTTACAAATTGTAAAAACTTTTCCGGAATTTAATAAAATATTTACAAATTGTCAAAACTTTTCCGGAATTTAATAATATATTTTACAAATTGTAAAAACTTTTCCGGAATTTAATAAAACATTTTACAAATTGTAAAAACTTTTCCGGAATTTAATAAAATATTTACAAATTGTCAAAACTTTTCCGGAATTTAATAATATATTTTACAAATTGTAAAAACTTTTCCGGAATTTAATAAAACATTTTACAAATTGTAAAAACTTTTCCGGAATTTAATAAAACATTTTACAAATTGTAAAAACTTTTCCGGAATTTAACAAAACATTTTACAAATTGTAAAAACTTTTCCGGAATTTAATAAAACATTTTACAAATTGTAAAAACTTTTCCGGAATTTAATAAAATATTTACAAATTGTCAAAACTTTTCCGGAATTTAATAATATATTTTACAAATTGTAAAAACTTTTCCGGAATTTAATAATATATTTTACAAATTGTAAAAACTTTTCCGGAATTTAATAAAATATTTACAAATTGTCAAAACTTTTCCGGAATTTAACAAAACATTTTACAAATTGTAAAAACTTTTCCGGAATTTAATAAAACATTTTACAAATTGTAAAAACTTTTCCGGAATTTAATAAAACATTTTACAAATTGTAAAAACTTTTCCGGAATTTAACAAAACATTTTACAAATTGTAAAAACTTTTCCGGAATTTAATAAAACATTTTACAAATTGTAAAAACTTTTCCGGAATTTAACAAAACATTTTACAAATTGTAAAAACTTTTCCGGAATTTAATAAAACATTTTACAAATTGTAAAAACTTTTCCGGAATTTAACAAAACATTTTACAAATTGTAAAAACTTTTCCGGAATTTAATAAAACATTTTACAAATTGTAAAAACTTTTCCGGAATTTAATAAAATATTTTACAAATTGTAAAAAAAAAGTTTTTTTAACGTAACTCCACCCAGAGTTATGTTACACACGCACAATACCGGACAATAGTTAGAACTGTGAATAAATATTCCCTTTCTAAAGTTGTAGGCCTTTAGGGTGTATGTCTTCACCTTCTTTTTTTACATATTTTTAAAATCTATTTTCTTTTATTTTTAGCACATTACCAGTCCCAAGACGTGGTTTAATAAGTCCAGCATTGTATTTGGCTTGGTTGGAAATGATGAGTTCTGATTTGCCACCAACTTTGCTTCTTAGAGGAAATCAACAATCTGTGCTAACATTTTATTCATAAAATTTTTGAAACAAATTTAATAAAAATTTTTTAAATTCTGCATAAAATACTTTATTTGGTTGTACCGTAGATAAAGTTTAATCATTCAATATTTTGAAAAATTTTCTTATCTGTTCCATCTATTTTTCAGTTGAAAATTTTGATTTTTTGGTATCGGTACTCAACTGACCCAATCTCGTCCGGGACTCAACTGACTTGCCCTCGTACGGGACTCGACTGACTTACCCTCATCCGGACTCAACTGACCTACTCTCGTCCGGGACTCAACTGACATTCAGGATTTTTCCGTTGGGAGAGACAAGTTTATAGAAAAAAAGTAAAAATCGATACCTTCAAAATGTAAACTTCAACAAATCTAAATTCGAAGTGTCAAACTTCGAAATACAAATTGTCAAGTTTTCCGACTGTCATTAATGTTTTTTTCGAGTTGAATCTGTCAGCTAAACTAATTTTTTTACATTTTTCAGGGATTTTATTTTTGCAACTTCATTATGGTTGTGACTTCGTGTATTTGGAACACTTTTTCCTTCTTTATAGAAATGAAACCAAAGTCGGAATTTGCTTCACTTTTTATTTCCTGTCCCAAATATTCTGAAGAAGTTGAAGCTGAGCCTTATGGATTAATTAAATTGGAGGAACAAATGCTTGAATTGACTAATAATTTGCAAAAAGGTTCTAGTTAGTTTATTTTTTTAATTATTGGAGCCCTCTTTTTTAGATTCAAAAGACGAACAACTCCCCCTTTCCACAAAAAGAATGGGCACCAAATTTGGCGATATTTTATTAAACCCACCAACATTATGTCTAATTTCTTGGGCTGATAATCAACATGATTTGTTAATGTGCAAGGTTAAGGCTGATGTTGATTGCGTTAATTTGTGTAAGTTGTTCTATAAACTTTATAATTTTGTTGTTTTTATAGGTCAAAAATCAGTCAAAATGTTGGAAGAAGAATTATCCCAAAATTGTAACTTGCGCGATTATTTGGACCGAGTTGAGAGAAGTAAAACTTTTAGTGTTGTTTGCAGGCAATGTGATTGCATATTACACACTCATTCAAAAAAGTATTTTTTTCAATTAATTTGGGTACCTTATTAATATCCCCTCTGTATTTGAGTCTCGGATTAATCTTTTTATTCCTTTCTGGCGCGGAACGTTAAAATTTCCTTTTTTCAAATGAGGCTTCTTCCTTTAGGTTTCCTGATTTTTGTACACTTATTTACCTTTTACCTAAAATGTTTGAGGGAGATAAGCCTCAAATATGAAGGGGGCGTGATATTAATATAGATCCTTACTTTGTTTTTAAAATTTAATATTTTCTTTAAGCGATTATGAATTTGGAATTTTGCCTTGTGATGACTGGTTAGATTTATCACCACAAATGGATTATTTTTGTGCTTTTTCTGGTAATGAATGTTGTACTAAACATTTTGAGAACAACAAAACAAATACTAAAGAAGGACTTTTAAGATTTTCTGGAAATTTTGGTTCTGAATTGACAAGACATTTGCCTACTGAAAGTAGAATAGTTTTGAGTAATATGTTTATATTTTTTCAAAAGGTTTTCTTTATTTTATTTTTTTTAATTTTCATTGTATTTTTATAGAATACATTGGACAAAACAACAAAAGAACATGAATTAGATGATTCTCGTGAAAAAATTATTTTGTGTAAAAATTGTAATGTACAGCTTGGGACTTCACTAAAAAGTAAAAATTTTGTTACTTTTTTGTTATCCTTACAGACTTTGTCGGATTTTCATTGCGGACATATTTATTTTATGAAAAAATTCTGACATGAGAACGGGTACTTATCGTTATAGAGTTGATGAAATCATGCTTGCATGGTGGAAATATTAGTTATGGATAAATGTGTCCGCAAAAGAATTCCGCAAAAAGCCTGCAAGGATAGCGGAAAATTACCACAAAATTTTTTTTATTTAAATTTAATCTTTTCTCAAATTCAGATCAATCTGACATCCTCAGACTTCATTTATCCACCTTACATGTATATGGAGATAATAAATTGAAGACTAGTTATATTCCTACTCGATTTTATTCAAGTGAATGTTTTTTAGCCTGGATGATTTTAAATAAGTGTGAAATATATTCTTCGATGAAATTGTTGTTTCGATCATTGGATAAAATGCCTCAAATTTTGGTTTTTGTTTTTAAAAGTTTACTAATAAAATTATTTTTAAAGATTTGGTTAATTGAACCCTATGTTGTACTTACTAGAGGTGTTTTGAAGGAACTCCCAGAAGATGCCGAAAATTCTTCCTCTAATTCATTTCCAACTTCAATTTCTTTCCCAGCACTTAAAGTTATCTATAAACTTTTTGATAGTGATTCGTGTCATCAGTTAGTTTTTCTTTTTTAGTTATTTAATGACAAATCATAATTATAGAGATCCTAGAGCAAATGGAAGTGATTCAAGTGTTGGCATTTTGGATGTTCCGCTTGGTTGTTGTATTCAATTAGCTGAACTTTTGCTGAACAGTTCTTTGTCGTTGCCAATTCCTTTGAGAGCATTAGGACAATTTTATGTTAGTTTTCTGTTTTTCTTTCAAACAACACATAAGCTAGTAGGATTTTGTGTTTAATCCGAAAATTAATAATACTTAACAATTTCAGGTTGGATTCATTCGCTTGAAGGATCGCATTGATTGATTTATTCACTCTACTTATAATTAGCCTTATTAGTTTTAATTTCTACTTAAACTCTCTATTTCTGTATATTTTAAACTTCATTCTTTAGTTGACAACGAATCTTCCTAAAAAATGCTTAATATTTTATAAACTTTTTAATTTTTAAAATAAAATTATTTTATAATTTTCTTAAATTTTTATCACCTCATGTGTAAATTATTCACTAATTTTCCTTTATTATACAATATTTACACTTTGCCTAGTTTTAGAATGAGTGAAAAATCTACCGATAACAAGGAGGAAATTTCTCCAGATTCCAACGAGGAGAAAAAGGAAGACCATCCTTCTGAAACTGCCACAAGTGAAAACTCTTCGGGAAATTCGTGGATTCCAGGTTTGGCTGCTTCTTGGGTTAATACTGCTAAAGAAAAGGTTTGGCGTTTTTGTAAATTTAGTAAGAAAATTGTTTAGACAATTTCAACATTTGAAATGATGAAGAAAGATATCCATGAGTTTTCGGATACTCTTCAACAAGGAGCGAATACTTTGGCTGGAGCTACTGTCAAACAAGCTCACCATATTCAAAATTTGATTGCGCCAGTTCCTGATAATGTTGCTAATGAAGAAGAAAAAAAGGTTTTTTGAGGGATTTTTTGAGTTTTTTAAATTAAATTGTTTTTAGACTGAAGAAGAAGGAACTTCAAAACAATCATCTGAAGAAACCAACAAAACTTGTAAGGATAAATCTGGACTGTTTAATTTTGGTTGGATGAAACAAGTTGTTGACACTGTTCACAAATATGCTACTGAAGATACAGTGGAAGATGAATGTACCGAAGAACTTTTTATTGGAACAGGCGGACGAAAAACAATTCTTGACCAGGTTTCTTGTCTAAATTTTGTAATAAATAGGATTCTTTATTGTCTAGTTCACATTACTTCAAATGCAAAATGATCCCCGTACTTTCACTCAAGCTCCCCAACAAAATGTTGATTTATACAAGGAATGGCTTAATGATTTTAAAATTTCTGAATATAATGGCGAAATAAATTTACTTTTGAGCAACAATCCTCGACTTAGAGAAATTTATGCAGAATTGGTATTTGATTTTTAAACTTGGTTTTGAAACATTTTCGAATTTAGGTACCTTCCCAAGTTGATAATAATGCCTTTTGGAATCGTTATTTTTTCAAAGTTCATTTAAAGGAATTGGATAAACAAATTGCTATGGTTGAAAACCCTTCTATTAATTTAACAAAAACAGGTTTCTTTTCTTTCTATTTTTGTCTTATTATTTTAGACACCACCGTCCCAAAAGAAGGCCATAGCCCAGCTCCTAGTAATGGAGTAGATGACTGGAGTATGTGTAGCAGTGGACCCGCTCCCGAGGTTTTTAGGCTGCTTTCAAGCCATACTTAAAAAATTTTTAGGAATTGGACGAAGAAAATGGACGTGAACAAGAAACTTCTACCCCTAGACCTCAAAAAGATGATGAAGTTGATGATTGGGAGGAATGTGTAGATGATACTAATGGTAATAATAAAAATGAAATTTCTACAAAAAACAAGGATTAGAAGGTTTAAAAATAAAAAAAAAGTTTTTATAATATAATTTATATTTAAATGGGAATGTAAAATGAATTTAATTTTTTAAGAATTGATTTGTGTGGCCCCTTCCTTACAATTAAATTTGCTTAAGAAAATATTCATTAGTTGAGTCATTTAACTTGATCCTTAGTTGAAATAACTCAACTATTGAAAACATTTTTTTCGGTTTACTTAAATCACCAGATTGATTTGTGGTCCATCCTTAGGTGGATGGATGACATCCTGTGTTCCTTCATTTTTTAAACCTGTTTAAAAAATATTTTCCAAAAAGATTTTTATTGGGCGCTATCCTTTAACTTTAAATATACATATATATTTTCTTCTGCTCATAATTTTTGGAATGTATATATTAATAATTGTGATAAAATGACTGAAAACTACCTAATAATTATTTATGAGGGGCCCGCTTTTGAATAAATTTCTCTTAGAAATTCTGAAAAAACACTTGGAAGTAAATCAATGATCTAACAAAAAAATTCAAAAACAATTCCATTACTTTTATTTAAATAAAAATTTTTTGTCAAAAAAAAAGTTTTGTGCAAAAACACAAGAAAGAAAACAAAACCTGAAGTGATTTAATAAAATAAATAAATTTTTTTAATTGTTATAAAAAAAGAGGTAAAAACAGAAATAAAAGAGAATGGCAAGAAGAAATGAAGAAAAGGAAAGTCTTGATTGGCGTGAAAACTCAAGAATATAAATGAATGATAGGAAAGGTTTTTTTGAATTTTTAATGGGTTATGCTTAATTTATATAAATTTTAGGAAAAAAGAGGAGGAAGAAGGCTCTAATGTAAATAGTGATATGGATGTCTTACGTGGATATTTTGGATGGTATTAAATGTTGATATGAATGTCTATAATTGTGCAAAGGAATAATTTTAGGTAATTTTGGATGTTTATAATTTAAATAAGGTCAAAAAACTAACTCTCCCCGCAAAACAAAAAGCTGGTGGTGGTCCCGTATGAGATCTAGTGTCAGTCGTTTACATATTTATTCCTCAATTTTAGCTCGTTCCTCAAAATATTCAAGCAGTTCTTCTTTATAAAGGGTCTTCACTTGTTTATAACTCATAAATTGAACATCATCCCCTCTAAAATTTTATAAAATTAGGAAAAGTATGATTTAAGTAAGCATACATTTCAACAGCAAATCTAGTCTTTTGTAAAGCGAGTTGACTGTTAGGGCTAGTTTCTTGTTTTTCCCCAGAAGCTGTTTCTTTATTACTGACAAGCGGTCCCAAAATTTTGATTTGCTTCTTAAATTGTAAAAAAAAATTTAAAAAAATTAATAAGAAAAAATACAAAACCTTGCCACGTTTTTCATATAAATCGATCATCTCATCAGGAATGTTGCTTGCAAGTTCATAACTTTCGCTTAAAAAATTATCTTTAGAATCTCCGACTCTAATGGGGTTGTTTATTTTTTTGTCTACCACCTACAAGACTAACACAAAATTTGCCAAAAACTTAATTAGCCCCTGATAAGCCTGTTTAGAATTGAACAAACCTCCATCGAACTTTATACATTTTTCTTTTTTTGCCTCCAACCATTTCTATTTTTGGACCATCAACAACATCCTCTATTGACCAAACAGTATTTTCATGTTGTGTTTGTAATTGGCGTTGTTTTGATGTATGATTTTGTGATTTTGTTTTGTTTGATTTTTTGTTACCATTTTCTGACATCCTTTAAAAATTTAGAGCGGTTTTATACAGAAATTTAAAATATAATGGCTTTTAAGTTTAAACACAGATTTTTATATTAAAAATGTGAGAACATGCGCGATAGAACAGCTAAAAAAATTTTTCTTTTAATGAAAGTCAAATGTCTCTCTGTATAACTATAACACATTTTCTTCTTTTTTGCTTCCTTCAATTCTCAGTAATATCTCTTTTTAATCCTCCTCTTCTCACTTATACATTTAAAAGCTTTAACAAAAACCAAAGCCAATTTATGATTTTTGGCGGGAGAAGAGGTTCAGCCTTTAGGTGACGTCATTTTAAGGACATTACAGTCCCGTTTAACACGTGTCATTTTAGTTTCAGATAGATTTTTTTGTTCATTTCTACTTCTAACAATGAATTTCCTCACAAAATTTGAGCATTAATTTTATTCGTAAGTAAGAAAATGAGGTTAAAAATAAATAAAAAGAAATAAAAATAAACCTTTCTTAAATACTTTTTTAGGAAATTGTTCATTTTTCGATTTAAACGTCAGTTTCAGCTAAACAAAAAATATTTAAATCTCATCTTTATTTTAGCCGTTTGTATGAGAACATTTGAACATCACATTTTGTTGCCAATGTTTCCTGAAAAAAATTAAGAATAGGAAAAAACCTGAAATTTAACTAACCAAAGCTTTTATCTGCCCTTCTTGGTAAACCAAACCTCCAGCCTTTTGGCTATATTCTGTATTCATTCTTTCAGGATCACCAGGCACTAAAACAGGCTTTTCTTCAGAAATCTACAAAAAAAATTATTTTTCTCGTCCCTTTCCTTTTATCTACCGGTTTCAAATTCCGCGTTTGGTCCAAAAATTGTTGTAAACGAGGAGCAAATCCTGGAGCAAAACATTCTGGATCAATAGCAACAAAACATTGGCCCTTTTAAATTTTCTAATTAGTACATTAAGTGATTTTAAAAATTACATTGTCAGCAGCTTTGTGTGATTGTCCCCACAGTCGAACATTTTTGCCAAAACTTGACCCTGCCAAAATTCCACAAAACAATTCACCCATCATTGAGAGACCCGTTCCCTTGTAAGATCCCGTCTCTTCTATACCGCCTAAAGGCAAAAGTCCGCCACCATGTAAAACAACTTGTGTGTCTGTTGATGGAATGCCTTTAGAATCAGCACCCCATGCGGAAGGAATTTGTGGTTTACCGCGACAATTTGCCAGCTCCACCTGAAGAATTCAAAATTTTTCGAGGACTCGCGTATTTCTTACCTTTCCGAGAGCAACAGTTGTGGTAGCCATGTCTAACAAAAAACTGTCTCCAGTCTTTTCTGAGTTGGCACAGCAAGAAAGAGGGTTTGTGCCGAGTCCAATCTCAGAAGACCGGCAGGGGAACATGAGAGGCGATGTATTTGTAAAAGACATTCCCTGAATATTTGATGGATTAATCCTTTAAAAAAATAATGATTACTTACCACCATTCCTGCATTTGCAATTTTCTTAGTATAATGTTGACAAGCTCCATAATGATTAGAATTTTTCGTTACCACCCAAGCAACACCAAATTCTTTAGCCAATTTTATAGCCAAATCGGTACAAAAGTTTCCAACAACTGCACCCAAAAGATTTTCTCCATCAACCCAAGCGGTGCCTCCTTTTTGTTTTAACACTTTTGGAACTCCTTGGAATAAAAATGAGTTCAAAAACGAGTTCTCAATTTTCACCATTTCCTTTAACTCCGTTCTTGACATCATCCACATAAATATGAAGTCGATTTAGACCATGACTAGAAAACATTGTTTTAGAAGGATTAACAAAAACCAACCTGTAATGCCCAACAAGATCAGCATCCAATAAGAGATCTGCTAATTGACCAGCATGGTCAGGTGATGTTCCAACTGTTTGCATACATTTTATGACGAATTCGCGAGCCTTAAAAAATTAAATTACTGAGAATTTAATAGGGAAAAAACATCTTTTGGAGACACAACAAATTCTGGGGCATCCTTTGAATAATTCATTTTCGCACAAAATTTTTCTTAGCACCAAAATAATAATTTAAATATCTAAATTAAAAGAAATGAATGAAACGATATGAGAGAAAATTTATTTGAAAGGCAAGTCGCCAAATGAAAGGGGTCTATTTATAAATAAAATGAGAGGAGGGAAAAAGAGCTCATTTTATCTGTTAAAAATTTTGATGGTTCATCAGTTTTTTGTGGGCCAAGTACTCTAATTCCTCTAATTCTTTTTTATAAACAATTAATGTGTTCCCTTTTCTCACTATCATCTGATAAACAGAAATCACTTTCTCCTACAAAGTACGATTTTTAAATAATTTATGATTGTAAAGTAATAAACGGCGGATTATCAAGAATAATGATTGCGATAACTTACCGGAACAGAGGAATGACCAGATAAAATGAGCAAATGTAGGATCGTCAAAAGTCCCTGGATTATGTCACTGGCATTTTTAAGTAGTGAACGACATATCGACTTTTTCTTAAGGAAAAAAAGTCGTTTTAAAAAAATCTACAATTATTCGCGAACGACTTTTTTTTAAACACACAATGCCAGAACTACGTAAATATCGATGTTTTGCGCCAAACGATTGCGAATCGACTTTTTTGTGTCTCTTTTTCTCTAATTTCACGTTATATTTCCTTTCTCTTTTTCTATTAATTTTCGTTCGTGTAGTCTCTCCTTTGGAATTTGCAATTTTCCATTTTTATAAATGTTCAGTCCCTTTTCTGTAATTTTTAGGGATTTTTCCACATATTTATATTCTTACTATATGGAGAGGAGAAGTAAGAGGAGATGATGCCAAAAGTGGATTGAAAGCCTTTAACAGGAAGATGAGTGAAATTTTCATTGAAAATCCGGAAAGTCTTTCCATCATCAGATGTGCTGCTTACCTTGATCCTGCCGTTTGTTTCCCCACCTCCCCTAAAACAGATCTCAAATTAAAAATCAAGACAAACTTTTTTGTGAAATTAATTTATGTATCCGTGATTCAAAAACAAAGTAAATAATTATAAGGACGACAAAACAAAATAAATTTAAAGAAAAACAAAGTCAACGAGGAGATCAATCCATCAAAACCTTTTACATTAATTTAATCAACTTCCTCCATACGCGAAGCGTCCTCCTCTGCACCGGCAATCTTTTCGACAGGTTCCCCAGAAGTGCAGGGTTGTGGATCTTCAAGAGAGAAGCCAGAAGTCAACAAAGTCATCTTGGTCGGAGTCATCTTGGCCAAAATATCCTAACACTAAAAATAAAACAAATATTCCAAAATTCTTTAAACAAAATCTTAAATACCTTAATAACTTTGCAAAGTTTCTCAAATTTAACTTTATCTTCTTCAAACTTCTTCTTTTCCTCTTCACTTTCTGGCAACTCCAAACCTTCTTTAGTCACGCTAACCAACTTCTTTCCATCAAATTCTTTCAATTGTTGAATGCAATATTCATCAATTGGATCAACCATATAAATAACTTCAAAACCTCGCTTCTTAACACGTTCAACAAAAGCTGAGTTTTGAACAACTTCTTTAGACTCGCCAGTAATATAATAAATGCAAGTCTGATTCTCCTTCATTCGTCCAACATAATCCTTCAAGCTAACAAGTTCATCGCCAGAAGAGGAAGTGTTGTAACGGAGATATTCGGCAAGCTTTTTACGGTTGACAGAATCTTCGTGAATACCCAACTAAAGAACAAATAATTTTCAAAAAAACATTTAAAAAACCTTAAGATTCTTGCTGAATTGTTCATAAAATTTCTTAAAGTTGTCCTTGTCTTCAGCAATTTCATCAAAAAGTTCGATACACTTCTTGACCAAATTCTTTCGGATCACTTTAAGAATTTTGGATTGTTGGAGCATTTCACGAGAAATGTTAAGAGGAAAGTCCAATGGAGAGAATTCCAATGGAGAGACAACGACATAGAAAATTAATAGAAAAAGAGAAAGGAAATATAATGTGAAATTAGAGAAAAAGAGACACAAAAAAGTCGATTCGCAATCGTTTGGCGCAAAACATCGATATTAACGTAGTTCTGGCGTTGTGTGTTTAAAAAAAAGTCGTTCGCGAATAAAAGTAGTTATTCGCCGCGAATCGACGAAAACGTAGATATGTCGTTCACTATTTTTAAGTAATTCAAATTGTCAGTTTGGCATTTTGTAAATATCCCTTATGTACGTTAGGTCTTTTGTACAATTTTAGTTAGTTGACATTATGAAATTTTTTTGGGCTTAGATTTTTTGAAATGTATTTACTTTAGTTGACATTTTGAAGGTTTTCGAAGCTTTAGTTTCGTTATGTCTAAATTTCGATCTGAAAAAATGAAAATTTTCATTTACTCAAAATAATTTTTTGTCATTAACTTTTTGTTAATTAAACTTCATTTTTCGAATTTTACTAAATTTTTATTTTTTTAGATGTTAAAATACTTATTCAATAGACACTTTTAAAACATGAATTCTGGTTCACAAAGAAGTAAAAATAATAAGGAATTTAAGGAGAGCACGCCCAGCAAGGAAGCAAATAAATCAAAAGAACAAAAAAAGAAGGCTGGAAAAGAAAGCGGGTCTGTCAAGAAACAACGGGTTATTTTTATTGTTTTAAAGCGCTTTTTTAATGATTATTTTATTCACTTTTAAGGTTTTTATTAATAGAGGTGCAACATCAAATACTCCAACATGTAATATTAAATTATTGCAACAACCACAAATTTCTCAGATGCCTCCACAACAACAAGCAAATTATTTTGGTCCTCAAATCCCTTCAGATGTAATGGAAAATATTTTGTTTCGGTTTCTTTATAATATTCCTGAAAATGAGGTTTGAAATGAGTTAAATTGTGTTAAATTTGAATTTTAGAAAAACGACCAAATTCGTGTTTGCTTTCACATTGAGCTTGCTCATTGGTTTTATTTAGATATTTATTGCCCTGATAATGCTGAACCACCCGCTGAAAATTGTAAAAAGGTCGGATTTCATCAATTTGTTAGACAAGTTTTTTATAAATGCGATTATTTGGATAAATGGCGAACGTCTATTGACATGGTTTAATTTTGTGTTTAAAAACTGAACTTTTTGTTCTTTAAAGATTATTGATGCATTTCGACAATATAAATCTAGTGTGCCTACTTATGGTGTTATAATGCTTGATCCAACACTTAATTATGTCCTTCTTGTCCAAGGATATTATGCTTCGACAAATTCTTGGGGGTTTCCGAAAGGAAAGGTAAAAGCATTTTTTAATTTTTAATGAGTGGAATTCCTTAAATTATATTTTTAAGATAAATGAAGGAGAATTGCCAGTTGAATGTGCTGTTCGTGAAGCCTTTGAAGAAGTCGGTTTTGATTCAAAAGAATACCTTTTGGACAAAGTACGCCCACTTCAAAGTTTTGTTGGCGAAACTTTAGTGAGACTTTACATAGCGACTGATGTTCCTATGGATTTTCACTTCAAACCACATCTGAGGAAAGAAATAAGGTTTACTTTTTATTTTTTGAGGAACATGGTAATTGTCAATTTTCAGGAAAATTTCTTGGTTTTCTGTTTGGGATCTTCCAAAAAGCAGAAACGATGACACGGGATTATCACAGCTTGGACTTTACTCAAATAACTTTTATTCTGTTTTGCCTTTTATTAATGGAATTTGCGAATTTATTTCACGAGAGCGGGCCGTGCTGAAACCAAAATGTTCTATTCTTAAGCATGAGGGAAAATCTGAAAATAGTGCCTTTCAGCCAGTTATTCCAAAAGGTTTATTAAATTTTATCTTTCAAATTTCTTTGATTTTTTTAGCGTCTTCTGATCAAAAATTATCTGTTATTAGTCCAAATCCGTCTTCTCAAAATATTCATCAAACAACTTCCCAACCAAGCACATCAAAACAATTTGATTTAAACAATTTATTTAAACCTTTAAAAATTGAACCTGATAATCCACCTCCTCCAACACCATCGGCACAACAGTCATTTACTGGCCAATCATTTTTGGAACAATTTATGAAAGGAGGAGGTGTTGCCGGTCAAGAAATTTCAAATTTTTTGGGAATTGTAACGGATAATCCTCAAGGTTTGTGGTTAAAATTTATAGAAACGAATTTATTTTTAGTTCCACGAAATCCAGCAGGCGTTATTGGTGCTGAATCACGTAATCGTCATAAAGAAATTAAGCAACCAAAACCTTTACATCCTTCCAATTTAATGTTAAATGTTTATGAGGCTCCGCCAGAACAATTTACTCCTCAACAAGAACAACAATCATTAATTCCTTCTTTATTTTCACATTCTGAAAGTCCACAGAAAAAATGTTTTTCAACAACATCAACTCTTTTATCAATGGAAACTCCAAAAAAGGGAAAAACTTTTCGTAATGTTTGTTTATTTTTAAATTTTATTTTTGAAGATTTTCCTCGTTAATAGGATAAACCCATGCCGTTAAAAATGGTTGATACTTCCAAGTCGGTTCTGAAAGATGATATTCCAACGCCAACATCAACAACAATTGCTGGATCTGAAACAAGTGGAAATGAAATTGTTAATATGCTACGTTCTTCTATAGGCAAAAAGGAAACAAAAAAAGTAATTACTGCTGAATTAGTTCCAATGCAAGTACAATTGTGTGAAGCGTGGAAGAAGTTTAAGGTTAATTTTTATTTTTTGTGGGGTTTTATGTTTTTTTTTAATTTTTTGGAGTAATAATAAACTACGAAATTTTCGATTTTTGTTCTTTTTTGTATCTAAACCAGACCCTTAGTAAAACCTTTATAATTTTTATTAACGACATTATTTCTTTTAAATGCCTTTAAAAACTTAAATATTGTTTTTTTAATATTTTTGCTTAACAAACTAATAAAAAAAGATAATATTTCTTTATTATTTTTTTCAGTTTGATCAATCTCTTCATCAAAAACTTGGTGAATTGAAATGTAGACAAAAAGTATAAAGATGATTAAATAATAAAGATGTGTGTGCAAACTTTAAAAAACTTACATTCAACTTTGTAGTACAATTTTAATATTTCTCTATTAACTTTTCCAAAATTGAACTTGGTCTTAATGTGAATGTATGGTATTTTTTATTTTTAATATTTAAGGGTTGGGATCCTTCCCTCCGGATAATCGAAGATTTCCCAGGTTCCCATTGATTAAGAAATTTTATAAGAGAAATATAAATTTTTCGATTTTGACCGCTTTTTTCTATGAGGTTACGCATGTACTATTTTGTTTTTTAAGAATAATTTTTCAAAAAAAAAATTAAAGAAATTGTCATTAAAAAATTTTTTTTAATAGTCATGCGTTATCTCCCGTAATTTTTTAATTCTTTTAGGATCTATTTAAATATACAACCTTATCTTTTTTCCACTTTCGATTATGTACTATTTCAAACACAATTTAAAGTCAAAAAATAAATAATAATAAAACAACACAAACATTTTACTTTGAATAAATATAAAATATTCAAATTTACCAGAAAAAAATATTTTTATGTTTACTAAAGAAAAATGTTTTTTTTTCGAGAAAAATGATTTTCTTCCTTATATTTTAGAGGAGTTTTAGAATTGGAAAAAATTTTTAGAAAAACTTTTTTTCCATTTAAACATTAATTTTAACATTAAATTTTTTCCATTTAAACATTAAGGGGGTTATTCAATTTATTCTAAAAAATTTTTAGGGGGTGAAGCAGGGTTTTTTTTGAAGTTTTTGTTGATGTTCGCGTGCCTATCAACATCCTTCTTTCTTTTTTTCTCTTTTTCCTTTAACATAAAGCTATTTTAATAGCTTTAAATAGATTTTTTGATTTTTCCTAGGCCATTTTAATAGATTTTCTCGCTATTCACATCCCCTTCCCTCTCTTCATTTTTAATTTTTACTTCATAACGGGCCCTTTCCCTCTCTCCTCATTTACATTTACATGTGCCCCCATCCTCCTCCCCTTAAAAAAATTTTTTTTTGAGGGTTTTGGGCAGCGAATCAATTCAGGCGCTTTTCTCGCCGCTCGTTTCCCACCACCCTTTAAATAATTTTTTGTTGCGTTCAGCTGCGGGTCTAGGCCCTTATTTGAGGTCCTCGCCCATCCTCACCCATCTATCTCTCCCTCCTCATTTTTAATTTTATCTCTCTATCAACTCTTTTATTTACTCTTTTCTGCCCAAATATGACGACTCACTCAATTTATTAATCGGGCACCTATATTGCAAAGCTATCGCTTATGAAACATTGCTCCCACCATTTATCCTTCATCCTCTCTCCTGCCTTTAACATTCCAACTTGCCAACTTGGCCATTTTTTAGAGATTCCGCTTTGTTGCTAATTAAATTACCCAAATTAATTATCGGTAATTTATTAAATAAAATTTGAAACTTTTTGAGAATTAAACAAGGTATTGTTGTGTTTTTAATTTTAGATTTCCCCTCAATCTCGCACCTTCACTCACCTAAGGAATGTTTTTGTTAATCTTAAATTTTTTTGATTTTTTTAAAAGCAATTAAAGAGAATGGAAGCTCCCCCAGTTTTTATGAAAGATTTTCAAGATGCCCACCAATTTTATTGTCCAACAGATGCTCATTTATCAGACATTTCCGCAACAACAATGATTCCGTTTATGGCGGCAGGTTTTGAACAACACCAACAACAACCATCATTACAATTAAATCAAGATAATCAACAAATTAATATTAATTCTTCCCAACTTTTTACAAATTATTCAGATATTTATTCTCTTTGTACAACAATGAATCAAGAAGCTAAAGAAAATGAAAATTCATCATCTTTGAAGGGTCGAGAAATTAAAGCTGAATACAACAACAACAACAATATTAACAACAATACAACAACTTCACTTTCTGAATTAATGATGAAAGAGGTTGATCAACAACAAAAACAGCAACAACAACAATTATTACAAGAACAAATTGAATTTAATAATAGTATAGATGGGGGCCAGTCACAAGTTTTTAACAGCTATAACAACATTAATAGTAACAACAGCAGCATTCAAAAGCCAATGGAAGCGAAGAATGGAGGTGAATGCACTGCTAATGGTACCTCAGAACAATTGTTAATTATTGCGGGAAAGGAACGGCAATCTGACAATGCTCAATGCGGTATGTAAAGGAAGGAAAGAAGGGGAGGGATGTTGGTGTTAATAGAACGAACGGCTTTTGATTTTTTAATAAAAAATTAAAATTAACGGCAACATCCCTCCCAACTTTTTTTTCTCTTTAATAACCTTAACTAAATATTTAAAACTTTTTTGTTTGCGTTTAAACAGCGGTGGTCTTTTTTCAACAAAATTTTTTGTCCCTTTAGCAACTAACCCATCCTCCCATTTTTTTATAATATTTTATATGCTTTTTCCTCTTTTTTCGTTAAAAAAATTTTTTCGTTACATCCTCCCCTCGTACACGTGAAACTGAGACTATTGTAAAAATCCGAGAGGAAAAGGGATAAAAAGATAGCGGCGAAGTTTTGCGACAAACCCTTTATAAAACAGTATCGGGAATATAAAATGAAAAAAAAGCGCAATAGGACTTTTTTAAGTACAAAAATATGCAAAATGAATAGAGAGGAAAAGGAGAGGGTGGTGTTGGTGTTCACCCTTTAATAAAAAAAACTTTTTTTGGTTAATATCGTTTCGCTGACTGAGAGGTGCTATATAACTTTAACGGAACATATTTATCATTTTTACGGCTTTTTTGAGAGGAAAAAGGAGGAGGACTGTTTTAAATCAGGAAAATAAACCTTTCTAGGATTAAGGGGACATATCAGGGACGGACATATCTGGATTACGGTTACAAAAAAACTTTTTGCGTATTTAAGTTGGTTCTAGGATGGATATCGGATCGAAAATAAATCTTTGTATAGTGTTTCGGGCAACTCGTAGTCTCCCTGATCCCGTTATGTCTTGATTCATTCCCTTTCTTTATTCCCTTTCCCTATTCCCTTTCTCGATCTTTTTTTATCTCTAAAGTTCTAAATTAATGTTTGTCAGTCTTTTCTATAATTATTTTGTGTTTCGATTTACATCAAACACACACACACAACTTTATTTTTTATTTCTAAAAAAATTTTCTTAAATTTTTAACAATTTTGCTTGTTTAGCTTTTATCAAACAAAACAAACAAAAATTTCTGTTTAAATTTGTTTGAGTTAAAAAAATAGTTGTGTGTTTGTTTTAAAAAAAAAGCTGAAAATTCCATATATCGAGGGGGAGTCTAAGGAATAATAAAATTATAGAGAATTCCTGATACATTTTTATTATTTAAAAAAATTAGGAAATTAAAATTTTTAAACATTTTTAAGACAATTTTTATTTTTGCTGCTATTCTATCTAACTTTTATTTTTACTAAAAATTTTTCTTTTGTTACTTCCTTCTAAAAATTTAAAAGTATATTTTATTTTTTTTTAATTTTTTTATTGCCCAGTCATTTATTTAGACCAAACACTTTCCTTACTAAACATTAATGTTGAAAATTTAAAAAAAATTTGAGGCTTTATAAATGACAGATCTTAGTATAAGTCTTATCCAAACTAGAGCTTCGTATCTAGTAGTAGCTTGGTCTGAATCTTGACTTAAAACTTTTTTTGGATTTATTCATTCTTTCTCTTGGGGTGAAGTCCTGGTCTTTTGTGGTCCAGCCTGGTCTTGGAAAATGTTTGGTCTTGAATATCCCTAATATAGTGTTAATAGTTAACCAATAAGACAATTTGTTAATCAAACATTTTTAAGTAGAAATCCATTTTTGCAAATATTTTTACATTCCCTCAAAAATTTTTCCTCTCTATTTAACTTTTAAAAGGGCATTTTGTCGGCGAAGAATTGAGTAAATCGAGAGAGGGGGGAGAGATATATATCTCCTTAAACATATATCCCCCTAAAAAATCTTCTCCCTTCAAGTTATTTGATGTTATGTTGAGTTTCGCCCTCTTTGTATTCTAATTAAATACTAAATATCTTTTTTCTCCCAATTTTTACCCTGAAAATTAGCGCAAAAATAAAAAAAAATTTTTGTAATTGAAATTAAATAAAAAATTGTTTTAAAAATCTTTTCCTAGACCAAAGAAAAATTACATAAAAATTCTTTTCATCTAAAGAAATTTTTCTTTCAGACAAGGAAGGAATAAACGGAAGCAGCAATACTGTTACAAACAACATTAACAACAACAGCAATAGTTCAACAAACAAGTCATTTCCTCAATCATTAACTGAAAATCCAAAGCAGCAGCAACAACAAAATCAACAGCAACAACAACAATTTCTACCTCCACCAATTTCTGTTATAGTTACCCATCAACAGCAACAACAACAAAGAACTAATAACGAAAATAATAAAAATAAACAAATGGATGATGATTGTTGGAATATTGGAGGAGTTAATTCTGAAATTGGGGGGAATGTATCCTCAATGCTTATTCGAGATGAATTTATTTTTCAACCTTCACATTGTGCTGTTTCACCTCCTCCGCCTACAACAACAAGTGTTATTGGAGGAGGAGCAGGAAGGAATGATGGGGGTGTTAATGGTGTTGGTGGGAGTGCTACCGACTTTCTTTATGATTTGTCAGCTCCTTTACTGGAAGGTATTAAATGGGGAAACGGAGGGGAGAAAGACAGGCTAAAGTATCGTGAGCCCAACGTACCGCCAAGCTATAACTTCGTTTAAAGCTATCGAATCCGGTATGCTCTGGTTTGATGTACCTCGCCATGCTGAAGCGAACCATATCTGAGCTTCCTGGATTTGATTATTTTGAACTAATAGCTCGGCGGTATTTAAGAGGTATACCTGAAGGGTAGGAAGGAAAAAATTTTTAGTGGCCAAAAAATTAATGCCATTGATGGCTGAGATATATCCTTCAATAAATCTAATTTTCCAGATACATTCCTAACATCAATGCATAACAATATTAACAACCATTCTCCTTTGGATAACATTCCTTGTAGCAGTACTTCTTTGATTAATTGCCCTTCTTCAGCTTCTGTCTCTTCATCATCTGCTTTTCTTGAATTGCAACATCATCATGATGGGTCTGTTGGTGTATCCCCTTGTTCATCTTCTACACATAATTCATCTTCTCCGGATGATTATACTTTATTTCTTGCTCAACAACAACATCAACAACAACAACATTTGTTTCATCAAAACAATATTAAACAACAATTTCCTGTAAACTTTTTTTTTAAAATGCTCGTTCCTGGGCCATATTATTATATATCTCATTGATCCACTGCCTCTTTTCGAGTTGTAACTTTTTACGGGAGATCATACTTGATCTGTCCCTACTACTTATCGAGGGCTTTACTTATCGAGGGCTTTCGACTACTTACTTATCAAGGGCTTTCGAATGATATAAAAGTTAAATTCGATCAAATTCGGAAAAAAGGAGTAAAGAAAAAATACGCCCCATAGTACCAAACATAGTTAATTATCTTTATTTTTTATTATTTTTTCAGCATTTATTGGCACCAGCGATCGAGAATGTTGAAATACTTCGTCCAATCCCTCAACTAATTGAAGATCATTCTATAGCTGGGCAAACAACAATTGATATGCATCAACAACAGCAATATGCTTTTTTAGTTCAACAACATGCACAGAATAGTCTTCAAGCAATGTTTTCAAATAATGGTGAACAACAACAACATTTACAACACCAGTTACAGCAACAACAACAAACATTAAATATAACACAACAAAGAAGAAGAAAAGATGAGAATCGAAATGAGATGTTTGAACAACGAAGAAATAGCAACCATAGTGAAGATGATGACGAGGAAGAGGATGATGAAGGTGATGAGGATATGGAGGAGGAAAGAGGTGGAAGAAACAATCATCAGGTTGAGGTGGGTACAAAATTGATAATTTTTGGGGCCTTCTTGGATGACCCTATCTTTTTTAATAATTTTTTTAAATTTAGATGGCTGATGTCAAACCATCATTCATTTTGGGTGGCAATCATTCACTCAAATCCCCAACTTCTGGTGGGCCACATTTTAATCCCTCTGCAGCATTCCTTGGAGAAGAAAGCTGTATTGGTGACTACACGTTATCTCCCCCACCCCCTCCATTAACGCCTCCTTCAAAAACACGATCAAAAATGCATGATTTGGCATTGAAGCATCGACTAATTTCCAGTCAGGTGGTAAAAGTTTGATACATATTCTTTAAAATTTTATAAAAAATTTTATTTTTTCTAGAATTTGAGAGGGAACGGAACAATCCAATTGTCAATGGAAGAAAAGAAAACTTTAGTTCAAGAAGGATTTCCAGTCCCAACAAAATTGCCGTTAATGCGTGAAGAAGAGGAAGCGTTGAAGATTGTTAGGCGCAAAATTAAAAATAAGGTTTCCTTGAATTTTTTGTTTTTGGGGTGACATTAGGTGTCAAACCCTAGAGGTCAACTCCCTAGTGTCAAATGTCTTTAAAGGCCAACTCCTATTGGTAACTAACCCTAGAAGCCAATTCTCTAGTGGTAAAATTAATCAAATTACCATGGAGCTCAATTCCAATATCGTTGGATCTAGGCGGATTAAGATGAATTTGTTGGGACTAAGGGAGATTAAGTGACTGAGATACTTTTGTCCTTTATCTGCCCAAATATTTTTAAACATTAAATTTTCTTTTTTCTTTTAAAGTTGAGTGCACAAGAAAGTCGTCGCAAAAGAAAGGAATATATGGATATGCTAGAAAAAAGAGTGCACGCCTATTTTGCAGATAATAATGCTTTGCGTCAAAAATTGCGACAATTGGAAGCTTCTAATCGTTTTTTACTTGTTCAATTGCAACAAAAAACATCAGCAGAAGTTGGTGTAACTACTTCTACTAGTGCTAATGAAGAACAAGAACAATCATCTATGAATTGTTAAAAGTTTTATTCATGTAGTTTATTATTAAGTAGAGATTGGAAGCTTCTTCCCTTTTTTTCGGCCAAGAGAACGTGTTCAATATACATACCTTTACACGTTAAAAACAATCAACTCCTTATGCGTCCAATCAATTGCGATAGTTACCCGATTCTGCACTTTACTACCAAAAAATCTATGGGAATAGAAGTCTCTTTACTCAACCGGTACACGGACTATACCAGATCATAGGTTGATTAGGTATCCAAAAGCTCGATTGTTGTTACATTCCAATCTCTATTTTTAATTTTTTAGAGATTTGCTTAGTTTTTTACATAAAACAAATTTGGGAGGGATATCTATAAATTTATATACTTCATAAGGACTTCCTCATCATTTTCGTTTATTCCATTTTATCTTTCTGTTGTATACAAACCGTTAAAAAATGTTTGCCTTATACATTCTTTTTAAAATTTATCAAAAATTCTATAAATATTTTTTCTATTAATCCCCGGTCCTTTGAAATTTTATACCTTTTTTCACTTCACTTTTCTTTTTTACTGTGATATATCATTAAACTTTAATCTGTATAACTTTATAAATTTATTGGTTTTATTTTTTTGATTAATTAGTTCAACTATCAAGCTTTTCATAGTAGTACAAAAAGTTTAACAAATAAAGGAATTACCCGCCATTATGTTCAACGATGTCATTTCATGCCGTCAAGACTCTACTATTCTTTTTTCTATGAGAACTACCTCCCCTTTTAGTAGAGAAAGAAATTGTATTGACTCAAACGACCTATTCAGCAGTGTCTATATTTTTCGATTTTGCCCCCATCTATCTTTTATTGCATCTATCTTTTGGTTCATCTATCTTTTAATAGATTTTGCTCCTATCTATCTTTTAGTGCATCTATCTTTTAATTCATTAATCTTTTGTATAGGAGCCAAATAGGCTACCCTACAACTCATCGAATCCTTAACTCATCGAATCCTCAACTCATCGAATCGGCCAAAAACCCTCAACTCATCGAATCCTTAACTCATCGAATCCTCAACTCATCGAATCGGCCAAAAACGATCAACTCATCGAATCCTCCCAAACGGGGACGTTTGAGTCCCTGTGTTTATTTTTTTTAGATTTTTTATTGTTTTGTTTATTTTTTTTTGTTTTCTTCTGGGGGTCCAACTAATTTTGTTAATTAGTTGATCGGGCACTCATCCAAGTCTATCCGGCCAGTGAAAAGATTATCAAATAATCAGAATGTTTTCTCACATTCCTGGTAAATTATGATGGAGATTTTACCGGGTAAAACCGGACCAAATTAGTCCAGTAGACCCTGATTATGCCCAAAAGGCCTTTTTCCTAGCCTCCATAGCAGCAAAAAATTTTTTCACCGAAGATTCAGTTAGCCCTTTCAGGAGCGTATCCCCTCAAAATCTCTATTCCTTAAAATCTCTACTGGGCTAAAATGCCTTATAATCTCTACACAGCTAAAATGCATTAAAATCTCTACTCGGCTAAAAATTATTAAAATAACTATTCCTTAAAATCTCTATTCCTCATAATCTCTACACGGGTAAAACGCCTTAAAATCTCTACACGGCCAAAAATAGGATAAAATGTCTATTTTTTCATTCGGAAGCCTTTTGAGTGCCAACGTTCAGTGCGGAAACGTTGTTCTGATTTCTGGCTTATCTTTTGATATTATTTTGCTTGTATTGTTTTTGCCGCTGCGGATGAACCCAGGCATGTCCAGCGGAACGACAGCAGCCGCTTCGATACGATCACCGCAAGCAAAATGAACACGACCGCAGCGAAGCAGTCGTGTATTATATCTTCGATATTTACGGCTGATACAAGCAGATATCCGCAGCCATTTTTAAATCAATTGTATCCATATCCGTATCCATTACCAAGTCTGGGTTTTCCAATGAAAAGTTCATATTTTACATTTTTGTTGAGACTCTACCATCCATTTGCACGGTGTAGAGATTTTAATTATTTTTACCCCAGTAGAGATTTTAAGGAATAGTTATTTTAAGGAATAGAGATTTTAAGCATTTTTAGATTAGTAGAGATTTTAAGGAATAGCGATTTTAAGGAATAGAGATTTTGTATGGGAGCCTTCAGGAGAAAATTAAACACGGCCTTTTGGAAGGATTCGATGAGTTGATCGTTTTTGGCCAATTCGATGAGTTGAGGATTCGATGAGTTAAGGATTCGATGAGTTGAGTATTTTTGGCCGATTCGATGAGTTAAGGAATTTTAGCCGATTCGATGAGTTGAGCGTTTTTGGCCGATTCGATGAGTTAAGGATTCGATGAGTTGAGCGGGCACGGCCAAATAAATGACATTTCATCTCAAAAGTTAGAGATATTCTTAAATAAAAATAGTGTAGCTAGAGAAAAAAAATAAATATAGGTGTTTCGGTGCTAAATTCTGAGAGTGCGAAGTTACTGTATTTGAACTTGTTGTATTTATATAGGATGTTTAGATTGGATTGATCTAATTATAAAAAAGATGTGGCATCCCGAGACCTTTCGAATGATATATAAATTTCTTTCATTATTAATATTTAAAAAAGATATGGCCTTAAAACGCTATTCCGTTAACGATACTCAAACGTCTCTTCTACCATTTAAAGCAAATGACACCTACAAAGATAGAGAAAAATAAGGGGAAAAATAGTGAGTTAGACAACAAAATTAAATAGTAAAAATAGTGGTTAGAGAACATAACTAATTGCGGACTGTTGGGCCGTTTTAGTGCCCCAGTTCAGTGCGAAATGGTTACTGTACCAGAAGGGGAAACTCAATTAGCAGGATTTAAAAATCAGAATTAATAAAACAGAACTAACTTTTTAATAAATATATTCTGTTTTTAAGTCAGTATCAGAATATCGCTCTTCAATGCATTTCCCTCGTGGTAAAAGAAGTTCACTAGCAACAATATTGCCTTCTTTCGTTACTTCATCCTCTTCCAATAATTCTTTAAATACTTCATTTCTGGGTTCTTCATCAACTTCAGGAACATCAACAACAACACATTTATGAAGTTTAAGTAATCCTAGAGCATATTTCAGTTGATAATTATTAATCTTGTTATTTTGTAAAATTTCCAGTTTTTTTAAATCACTATAAATACTTTATAGTTTTTTAGTTCATTAAATTTTACTCTTTAAAATCATGATAAACACCCAAAAAATTGTTTGGTTTAATCACAAAAAATTTCACCAAAAAAAGTTCATTTTGTGGGGAAATTTGAAATTTTATTCAATTTAAAAATTTGCCAAAATTTGGCGTAATGTCTCTTGTGCCAAATAAATGACAGTTTATCCCAAAAATTAATTCTGTTGAGTACCGGACACTTGAGTCTGACGGCTGAAAATAGATGAATTAAATAAGTCGGTTGGGTGCAGAAGTTGAGTGTGTTGAAGAAAATTCTTTAAAATTTTATATTTTTTAAAAATCAATAATAATCGATAAAATCGATATCAATCGATAATTATTTTTAAAATTAATTCTTAAATATTTATATTTTCAAGAAAATCAATACTAATCCATAATTTACTTTTAAAAAGTTAAATTTTCAAAAAAATCAATACTAATCGATAACTATTTTTAAACATCTACTCGAGTTCTTAAGAATTCTTAATTTTCCAAAGAATAGGTTTTTAATTTTTTTGCCATTCCGCTCTCAAAATGAGCACCGAACTGGCCATAAATACTCATATTTATTTTTTCTCTAACTACACTATTTCGTTTTTAAAATTTCTCTAAACTAAAGGAATTCATCTACTCGAGTTTGTTTGTTAAGGAACGTCGTAGTTAAGTCAGGACAATTGAGTCTGTAAAAATTTATACAAAACACAATAAAAACAAAGTCAAAACATTTTATAGAACAAAAATAAAAACCAAAAAAACAAAAAGAAAAACAAAAAAAAGATAAAAAAATCAAAAAAGAATTGTTGTAGAAGCACCACTCGCTTGTAATCCATCAAATGTCCATCTTGTTGTTGCTTTTCCTGTTGATGTTGTTGGCGGGAATTGTTCAAGTCTGAAAGAAAAAAGAATTTTGCGTGATTTTGGATTCATTTCAAGCTTAATATTTCCGTAAATTTCGATACAATGGGTAGATTGGAAGGGTGGAGGGATTACACCAATTTTCCACCCTATTTTTACCGAAAGTATAAAGAGGCATCAACCTACAAAGTCCAAAGAAAACAGTGTTATAAATAGAACAAGGTTTCAAATGTTCTTTGGGGAATACGAGTATGTTCCCGAGGAGTGTGGACATATGTTGGAACAATGAAAAGAAAAAACAGATAGAGTCAATTGTACCGAAAATTGAAACTCCCAATTCAGAAATCCACCCAAAAAACCCCTCAACTAAAATAAATAAACTAACATTGTCTTAATCACACTTCTTCCTTCCTTTCCAAAAATTCACAACCAAAAGCTGCCAATGCTTGACTGTTCTCGCGAGGAACGCCCAACCAAGGAGTGTGTTCATCCGTGTTGAACATGTTAAAAAAATCTTTTTAAAAGAATTCTAAAAATTATTAAATAACCTTTCAAGCCAGGTTTTCAGTCGCATGTGTTGTAAGCCAAAGCAACATCAAAAAAATTGTCCAGATGGCCGTCGTCATCAATTGGGTTTAAATCTAAAAGAAAATAATTATTTGGTGAAAAATAAAAATAATTACACCTAACGAGTATTGAACTCGTGCCCTATCCTTATACAACCAATAACGCTACCAACTTAACCAAATGTCAATACGAAAAACTTTCAAATTTTTTCTCCATATACAGACGTGAACTTTGAATTTGGGGACCAATACTAGATATTAAACTTAAAAGGCCCGTAAAATAATTAAAAACCTTTCAACTCCATAATCTGCATATCTACAAGTCAAATAAATGCAACCAAGCAATTCTGTCTTCTTGTTGAAGCGAATGCAGCTTTGCCAGTTGTCCTCTGGGTACTTGTGAGTTATCCCAAACCAGTTTTTGCGGAAATATTTTGCGGACTCTTTTGTATACACAGAATGGTCAGATCTCCTCCTTTCCTCAATTTCCTCCTTTCCTCGTATTTTTATACGTATAAATTGAATTGAATTGAATTTCACTCTATTTCACTATGGCATTATTTAATGAGAGGCAATAAAGAAAGGATTATTTTTAAATATAAATGACCGAGTTTTAAATCATTTCGCCTCTCATTGAACAATGCCATAGTGAAATAGAGTGAAATTGAGGAAAGGAGGAAGACTGACCATTCTGTATATACAAAAGAGTCCGCAAAATACGTCCACAAAAACCGTGACAAATCACAGTCTTACCAAATCACGGAACGACCAAAATACGGAATAAACAAAATTTGGACCGATCTGCTTTCAGTGCAGCTTTTCGGCAATAGTAGTTTATTCCCACCCCTTTTTTACGGAATCCTTGACCATTTTGAGCTGGATTGATACAATAATTGGTTAGATTTGTCAAAAATATGAAGCTGTTCTGGGCCGTGTTTGGTTAATTTGGTAAGACTCTGTTAAGGTACGTACGCGAAGTAACGGACCATTAGTGAAAAATGCGGAGTTTGGTGCTTATCATCTTAGAAAAATATTTCTAAATGACTGAAATGTGTAAATAAAAATGAAAAGATTGATCTGTTATTTTCATATTTGATGGCATTGCAGAAAAATAATCCATTTTTGTTGCCTCTCTTTATTGCCTCTATTAACACAGTGAAATGGAGGAAAGAGTTCACTATCAATGAGAGGCGAAATGATTTAAAACTCGGTCATTTATATTTAAAAATAATCCTTTCTTTATTGCCTCTCATTAAATAATGCCATAGTGAAATAGAGTGAAATTGAGGAAAGGAGGAGGACTGACCATTCTGTGTATACAAAAGAGTCCGCAAAATATGTCCGCAAAAACTGGTTTGGGATAACTCACAAGTACCGTCCTCTGTGTTGTAGAATGTTGTGGTTCACCCGTTCAGCCATTTCCTAGAAAAACAAAATTTTGTTTCATCCAGGCAAAAAAGGAAAACCTGAATAAACTCTGCAGCCTCTCTCCTATATTTAAGTTCAGCAGCCGAATTCATAAACATTCTATATATCAGCTGAGAAAGCTCATCATCTGCAAAATACCATTTTGGTTTCCTTCCAAGTTTGCTAGATGATGGAACGGGTTTTGCCATCTTTCAAATAAGATCCATACTGAAAGCTCTAAAATGTTTAAAACCCCCTCCCTTTACCAGACAATTGGTAAACACACTTTGTAATCAAATTTGGAAGAGGATTAATTACGGACTAACTCATGGATTATTTGCGGACAAAACTTGCTTGTGTAAAAAAAGGGCAAAAAACAAACCTTTTAATTTTTAAAAAGATTCCATGGACGTCCAAAGTGCTTTGATGCTTTTTGATTTTTTTCTTCTTCTTCTGTTGATTTTGGTTCTTCTTTTTGTTTTTTCTTCTTTGTTCTTTTTGATTTGTTGTTCTTCTTTTTGTTGATTTTTGAGTTTGTTCTTCTTTTTGTGTTGCTGCTGGACAATTCTTAGAGGCATGGCACTAAATAATTTAAATAAGTTTGTTTAGGCACAATTATAAACTAACCATAAAACTGAAGAGCAGTTATCAAAGTACCATAGAGGCAACAAGTCCCATGAAGATGCCAGCTAGACGCCGCAAATGCCAGACAGAACCCCACACAGAAGGAAGAACTCCAAACAGTTGCCAGGAGAATTCCATACAACAGCCGTTAGAACTCCAACAAAGCCAGACTCCAAACAAATGCCAGAAGAACTCCTACAGATGCCGAAGCAAATGCTAGAACATTCCCCCGAACATCTGACGGAACGTTCGCACATTGTCGCAATTCTTTCGCACAGTTGCTGGGTTATTCCCCCGCACATTAGCCGGAACATTCCCCCACATAAACAGATGAAGAACTCCAAACACTGCCAGAAGAATATCATACATTGCCGTTAGAACTCCAACAAAGCCAGACTCCAAACAAATGCCAGAAGAACTCCTACAGATGCCGAAGCAAATGCTAGAACATTCCCCCGAACATCTGACGGAACGTTCGCACATTGTCGCAATTCTTTCGCACAGATGCATGGTATTCCCCCGCACATTGCCGGAACATTCCTCCACGAAACTAAAACCCACGCAACACGCCTAAAGGACGCACGCAAATGCCAAAGGGGACTTGTGCTTTTGATGTTGGAGAAGAGAGCTCCACATCCGCCTCTACTGCTAAAAATATGATTTCATTTCAAAGTTAAAGGAAACTGAAACTAACGTTTTGAGACAAAACCAGATTGATGAAGTCCAGATGCAGCTTCTTTGGTTGCAAAGCATACAAAGCACTGAATGAAAAAAAAATAATGTTGTTGGATTAAAACACAGCAAGCTTTGTCCGCAAAATGGGAAGAAAGGGGGGGGGGGAGTGAAGGGCAACTGAAATTGCTCCAAATACAAGCCAACAGTGTCTGAAGACCACCATCATCATCGGTCATCTAACAGTTCTAAAAAAGAAAAATAAACATGAGGCAAATTAATTAGTTTAATAAAAATTTAGGACATTTTTCACGCGTGGCGTAACTAGTAGAGCGTTAGGCCCACTTGTTAAGAGGGTTCGAACCCTAAAGGAAAACCAAAACAATAACCGAAAATTTTTCTCGTACCCAGATGAAAGCTTTGAGCACTAGATATGCCCTTTTGAAAATTTCAGTCAAGAGCGTATTCCCGCTGAAATGATAAAACACACTCGAAGGTAAAAAATCCCCAATATAATCTAACCAAATTAAAAGAAACTAACTTGTTCAACCTCAATAACCAATCCCTTTTCTTTCAAAGCATTAGCCAAATTGCAATAAGCATCAGGAAAATCTGGTTGTAGTTCAATCGCTCTTTTGTATGTTTCAATTGCCAAATCCAAATGTCCTTGTTCATAATAAACACAAGCCACGTACAATTGCATGATTGGGATTTAGAGCCAATGCACGAAGATAACAAGAGTTCTAAAAATAAAAAAAATGAAACAGAGTAAAGGTGGAGGGAAAGGTCATGCGTTATTTCATTTCTTGGCTAACTATCCAACTTATAAAACAGCGGGAAAATTAAGGCCTACCCCAAATTGCCATAACATTAAGGATTTTCTCTTATAGCAAGGTCAGACATTACAACGATCGAAAAGTATCTGGGTAACCAATATAGAACCCAATGCTCCGAAAACTATGTTAACAAGGTTTCTTGGAGCTAAGGGAATATGGTCTAACACAAACTTTTACAAACCTGACGATCAACAGCTCCAACATCATTTGAAGAGACAATTATGTCTTGTGGGTTCAGGCTTTGTCCTTCCGTCAAAATGGCTGAAGTTGTTCCTTGTTGAATTTGAAGTTGGAGGATGATTTGATGAGAACCTGATGTGGTGTTTTGTAGTTACCTTAAAGAAAATTTGGTAAAATTAAAGTATTTCACAAAAATCCATACCTTATCAAATGTACTAGTTGAAAGATTGTAGAGTTGTTTAGAAGAATAGGATAATGTTGAGACGATTGAAGACAGGCCTTGAATATTGAAATGTTGAGCATGGACAATTAACTGCTGTCCTTCGAATAAATTACATTTTTTGTCTAAAAATAAAAAATATTGTTTACCCACTTTATGGAAAAAAAATGTAAAAGAAAATGTGAAAGAAAAGTCGAGGAAAACAATGAATGGTTAAAAAAGTTTCCCTCTTCAACTATTGATCGTTGTTGTGAACTTTGCTCAGACAAACAAAAACATGTACTGGTCAGAGAAAAAGAATCGATATTTTCCCTAACTCTCCCGTGGGGGCTCCTATACAACTCATCTAATCGTTAACTCATCTATTCGTTAACTCATCTACACGTCCAAAAAGGGTCAACTCATCTAATCGTTAACTCATCTATTCGTTAACTCATCTACACGGCCAAAATGGGTCAACTCATCCAATCGTTAACTCATCTAATCCTTAACTCATCTACACGGCCAAAAACGCTCAACTCATCCAATCCTTGAAATATCGGCCGGTTGAGTCCCTGGTCAGTTGAGTCTCAACCGGCCCAAGACTCAACCGGCGGTAATCAACCACTCAAACGGCCGGGACTCAACTGGCCAGGGACTTAACCGGCTAGAGACTCAACTGGCCATGGACTCAACTGGTCATGGACTCAACTGGTCATGGACTCAACAGGCCATGGACTCAACTGGCCATGGACCCTACTTACCAGAGACTCAACTGGCCATGGACCCTACTTACCAGAGACTCAAACGGCCATGGACCCTACTTACCAGAGACTCAGACGGCAAGAGACTCAAACGACTGGTACTCAATAGTCTCGTTCCAAAGGATTGGATGAGTTGAGCGTTTTTGGCCGTGTAGATGAGTTAAGGATTAGATGAGTTGATGATTGGATGAGTTGACCCTTTTTGGCCGTGTAGATGAGTTAACGAATAGATGAGTTAACGATTAGATGAGTTGACCCTTTTTGGACGTGTAGATGAGTTAAGGAATTTTAGCCGTTTAGATGAGTTGAACGTTTTTGGCCGTGTAGATGAGTTAACGAATAGATGAGTTAACCGGACACGCCCGTGGGAAAACAAATTTGTTTTCTCTAACCTACACATGGTTTTGCTTGCTAAGAAAATATCGACAACAAAAATCGATAAATGAAGAAAATGCGATAACAAGAAAAGATGGATAAAAAGAGATGAGATAAAGAGACGTGAGAAGAGACGATAGATGATAAAGAGCCACTAGTCTCTAGCCACTAGTGGTCAAATCTAAAATCGATACTGGTCGATAATTAAATAAAAAATATAAATCGATATCAATCGATAAAATAAAAAATAATGAAATCAATAATAGTCGACACATTTATTCTTGTGAAATTATAAAAATAGGTCCGAGAAATTAATCTTTTTGACATCAAAATTCACTTCTTAGGTGCTGCACGAGTATCTAAATAAATATTTTTTAATTCAAAATTTAATCACTTAATGATAACCTGGCATACGCTCAATTATATAACGATGATCACGTATATACAATATTGGAACATCGGGAATTTTGCGTATACGCTTGCGCAAATCTCTATCACAAGTAGCAACGATGTAGTTTTTGTGCTAGAAAAGTAAAAAAATAAATGGAAATTAAGCTCGAATTAATTATATGGAGATCAACCCTGAAAAACTACACTCCAAGAACTTTGAAAGGGAATATTGAAGGATTAAGACGGATAAATACCCAACTGAAATAAGGACATCGTTCCTTATTTTAGAACCAATAATGAGGTATTGAGTGTGCCATAACTCTGTGAGTATATCTATCTCCTTTAAGCACACTGAATTCATAGGTATTCCCTTAATCCCTGATTATTCCCTTTCAAAAGTTGTAGGTCTTCAAGGATGGACTCGATCATATATATTTAAAATCGAAACGGTCACATTAATTTTAAAAATTTTATTTAGTTAAATTGAACAAACCTGCGTAATTCTATGAAGAATACACTCGTCAGTATATATGCTTTTTTTGTGCGCACAATGTAATCTTTGAAAACGATGATCATTGATAATTTTCAAAACTGATTTGAAACGACTTTGCTTCTCCAATTCAACAACAACACATTCGGGTATACATGGAATTACTGAAAAAATTTTTTTAATTTCAATTATTTAAATACTAAAGAAAACCTTTATCATGAAGACAATCCTTAAATCCTTTCATTATATCCAATCGATTTTTGATGCTATAACTGAGAAAAGTTGAATCAACCATAACATTAAATGGAGGTCCGATGTGTTTTGTGATGCTTTTTGATATACGAGGCCTTAATAATTAAATATAGAAAATAGGAATTTGAGACGAAAACATTGATAAGATATTATTTATTTTGATATAATAAACTATTAGGTCGGTTCATAAATCCACCTGATAGCCCTCCCTCCCGAAGCAGAAGAAAGGGGGAAAATAGAGAGAAGGGCGATCGAAAAGGTGAAGTTTTTTGCTTACGACCTTACAAATTTAAAAAATTTTCTTCTGCGGGACTGAAAATGGAAGACCTGGTAGAAGGGGTTATACAAAGCAGTTAGTAAAAAAAGCAGTTAGTTTTGAGTGAAATCTTAAAGACCCGTGAATGGGTTAGCTATTTTAATTGTTTCGTTAGATCAAGATAACTAAAATTTAATTCTTACGCTTCAACTTTCACTGCTTTTTCGTCATCTTTTTTAGTTTGTTGAACATTTGAAGTTGATTTTGTACTTGTTACAGCTTTAATCGCTTCCTGTATATCAGCATAAGCTTTTGCCTTCTCTGCCAACTCTTTAGCTTTATCAGAGTCTGAAAGTCGTTTTTGATGTTTCTCCAATTGCGAATGAATAAAATCAAGACTTGGTGCTTTTGTTCTTGTATAAAGACACATTAACATTTGAGAAATGAGACGAATGTCCCGGTCGGATGCGTCGAAGAGTTCAAACCTTTGCAAAAAAATAAAATTATAAAAAATTTTTAAAAAATCAAAAACCATGGGAAAGGCGATTTAGGGAGAATCACAGGTTGTTCAACAGTTTTAGCTGCCAATTGAATACAAGCACAAGCAATTGTTTCGGGAGTATAACGCAAAAACATATCCGTTCGAAGGCCGTCGTTCATATAACTCCTTAAAAACCAAATTTTGATTTAATTTCTAAAAAATTATAAACAAATACCAAGCTTTTTGAAGCAATTCCTTACTCCTATTAATTTGTTCCTTAGTCGCGTTTGGATCACTTTCCTTGCGTAATAAGCCAAGAATATGCAAGTAGATGTAGATGAGTTTGTGAGGGTGGTGTACCTAAAATATTGATTCACAAAAAATTTTTTTGAAGATTATTTTTTACGTGAACAACAAATCCCAAAACATTGAGTAGACGCCGCTCAGATTTGATTACATTATTCTTCATGTCCATGTATTTGCTTCCGCCCAATTCCAAATGATCAAATCTGTGGAAATTAAAAATTAATTTTAAGGTAAAAATATTTAGTAAAAAATCATTGGATATGCCCCCGCACAATTTTCGAGTTTGAACTGGCCATTGAAACGACAAAAGACAATAACTAAAATTTGAATAAAAATAATAATGATAAAAATGGGGAAGAATAGCCGCAAACGTAGGATACTCGCAGAAATTTAAAATTCAACTTATCACTGATCAAACGAAAAAATAAACTAATAAAATACTTTTACGAATCTATCGTTCTCTTATGCATTCTTTTCAGAAAATTAAAAAATTAATCTGCTTAATCTTATGGAAATCAAATTAAAAAATAAAACCATCCTTTTTAAGGGCGTGCGAGTTTCCAACGTTTACAGCTAACAGCGATTTCAAACAATGAAAACAGAGAGTTCATAAGAAGACAATCCACTAACTGAATTAAAAAGTATATAAGAAATACTTTCAAAAATAGAAAATTAAAAACCTGACATAAATCTTTTTTGACAATTCTTATTGTCTTAACCTCACAACGACATCTAAAATTTGTCAAAATTTCAAAAACATTACCTTTAATCCTGCAATTAAACAAACAAATTTTCTAACCTTTAACAATAAATCTGTCTTTGGTTCAACAACTAATAATAGGAAGATAATTGAAATTGAATGTAAAGTTGTGGTAAGTGCCTGTGAGTGCACCTAATAAAAATTGGATTATTATCAGGTTGAATAAACACCCCAAAACCAACCCCAAACAAAAAAATAAAGAAGTATTAGAAAGTAGAAAGAGATAAAATATTAAAAATATGAAATAATGTTCATAGAAAAATCAACGAGAAAAACATTGAAAAAAAATTAATTGAAAAACTCAGGCCCATGCCTAAAGTAATACCTATTCTGACGTAACGTAAGGAAATCAATATTAAAGAGTCGAAAACCGGCATAGGAAAAGAAATTCCGATTTCCAAGCTAAAAGCTAAAGGTAACATAATTCTGATTTCGAGGTAGGGAGACATAATATCGAGGTAGGGGGACACTCAGTCCCGAGGGCTGATGCCACGGAAATTGGCTCCCAGAAAACCCCTCCTAGAAAAACGTCATATGTAGTCCGATCTTTTTGTCGTTTCAACAGCCAAGTTTTACTTATAAATTATTAATTTTTAAGCAATATAAAGCTCAAAAATAATAATGTTTTAATAGAAACAATAATTTCCTTACTTCTTTGGTCGAAGTTGTTGAAGACTGACACTACAGCTTTCGCCCCCGCCGCTGATTTTTCTTCTATGTTGGTGCAATTGCTTGAGTCGATGATAAACGTTTATAACCTCCCTAGGTTTTCTTGGTTGCTCTTCAATTTTGCTGGCCAACAAAAGACACGCGCAGACCATATGCTGTGAAAAAAGATTAAAATGAAATTGCATTAATATTAGACCTCAAAATTGTGACGAACAAATGATTTTTGATAATAAAAACGTTGAAATAAAATTTGCGCTGTTGCGGCTGCTGTTTGGCTTAATTTTAATAAAATAGCACCGGATTGAATTAATTCACAGCCCAAGTACCGGATGTCCTAGAAATGAGTTTTAAGTTAGTAAAAAAGCAAACGGGTAAACCAAGTTTTATGGCACCTTTTTTCTTCCCCACGTATTTTCTTTTATATATAAAAATGGCCAGACTTTCCTAGATTAGATTCACTCTACTTCCCAGTGTGATAAATATGCCACAAGGAAAAGAATGAAATTGAGGCAGGAAGAAAGTATAAGAAAATAATTGGAGAAGAAAAAGAGGTCCTAACTCGGTTCACCCTACCAAATTAATAAACAAACCCTTTCCAATTCCATACTAATTCCATCAGCCAGAGACGGCGGATTTTCTAATTTCGCTAAAGAAGCTTCGTCATATGCCATTAACCATTTTTCAGCAGAAATATCAATTCTTGAATAATTACGCCTCTGGCCAAAACTGCTCGGTTTTATCTTTGACAGCAAATCCTTAAATTCAAGCACTTAAAAGAAAATCAAACCTGATTAAAATAAACCTTTAAGGCAGCCTTTCCGTCCTGTTGTAATTCCATATCAACAACTTTAATCTCAGAATGTTTGTCATTGGAAGTGTCCACAACTTGAGAATTGTTACTAGTAGAAACGTCTGTTTGCATAACGGCAGCCATTTTTAAAGAAGAGTATTTAATTTAACTGAAAAATCTGATAAAAAATAAAACAAAAAATTAAAAAATTGGAAAAGAGCCAACTAGTACGATTTCTTAAAATGTTAAAAATGAGACTCAAGAGACCGCTCGGGCCAATCGATTAAATTTCTTGGGTAAGGACGCTTCAGAACAAACCGACATTCGTCCAAAAGTTAGGACTTTTGTAGAACATTCTACACTTTTTGTTGAATGTGCAGATCAAATCAGTGTAATTTGAAAAAGATGTCGGCATCTCGAAACCTTCGACTTATTCGAATCGAACGAAAATCAAGAAAGTTGTAGCCCAATCAGCCACATTCTTTTCGTCGCTGCATCTAACCGGGCTGTTTCCTTTATAACCTCGACATTTGAGTACGAGCCTTTAGAGTCCTCCCATAACTTTTCAATATTTCAATCAACTCAGTCTAGCGGTACTCAACAGCCCTCTTATTTATTTTTAAAATAATCGAATGTCAAATTTCGAAAAACACGATTAAAAATCACGTCAGCAAATTTACTTTATTTTTAATTTCTTTTTAGTATTTTATTTTCCTAAAATATGGTGATTGATGCGAATAAAGATGCAGCCAAAGAATGTGTTCTACGTGCCAAAGAAGCTATGAAGAATAATGATATGCCTAGAATGCAAAAGCTTTTGAGAAAAGCCAAACAACTGGATCCAAGTTGCGATGTTAGCTCAATTCTGAGAAATGGCCAAGTTTTTAACAATTGTTCTTCAAATTCACAACAAGACGAAGAAAACGACGACAACAGTTATTCTCATGACGATCAGTACAACTCGTTTGATGAGGCAGAAGCTTTGAGAAATAGAAAGGCAAAAGCAAAGAGTGACTCACCCGGACCGAGTCACACAGGTTTTTCTTAAGTTTTTGCTAAATTAATTTAAACCTTGGTAAAAGTGTTGTTTTTTCATCTCTTCCAAAATGTCCACCAAATATTTGCCTCCGTCATAGAATCAATTGAAAAGGTTATTGCGATACCCATCTCTGTTTTCAGAGCGAATGGCCCGACGTTGTGCGTGTGTTCATTAGCTTCGGGTGAGTTGAGGGGGGTTTTTAGTCGATTTTTCGGAGGCAAATATAGGAGCGTTTTGGCAGAGATGAAAAAGTGCGACAATTTTACCTAAATCTTTCCTAATTAAACCTCTTCCCTATCTTTTAAGGAAAAAGACCAACTCGTTCACCCAATCGAAATTCGTCCTTTAAAGAAGCTCAAAGAACAAAATCACGTTCCAAAAGTTCCTCGAGAAATGCTTCAAATAATGTTAATTATACAACAGAAGAAGCTTCACATGTTGATAGAATACGGCATTGCAAAGATTATTATGAAATACTTCAAATAAGTAGTGTAGAATTTAGTGAAACTTTGCTCAAGAAAAAATACAAGGAATTAGCGCTAAAATTACACCCAGACAAATGTAAAGCACCTGGTGCTACTGAGGCTTTTAAAGGTTTAATTATTCGAGTAATCTTTAATTTAATTTTGTTCAGCCCTTGGTAATGCTTACGCTGTCCTTTCCGACTCAAAAAAGAGAGAAGACTACGATCGCTTTGGATCGGAGGATCAGGGGATTACACATAGAAATCACCGACATCACCACCGTCATCACCATTCAGAATTTTACGAATTTGATGTTAATCGAGGATTTGAAGGTTCTCATTTTTTTAACCCTTTTTCTAATTAAATTTTAAGCTGAAATGTCACCAGAGGATATATTTGAAATGTTTTTTGGAGGTGCATTTTCAAACACGACAATGAATAGACGCAGAACCCAATTTCATTTTAGACAAAATTATGGGCAGCAGCAAGAAGAACCTGTAAGAAACTAATTTTGTAAACAAAACCATTTGTATTTTTAAGTCTCTCCTTCACCAGTTGCTTCAAATCTTGCCAATCCTTGTTATTCTTATTGGTGGCCTTCTTGTCCAATTCTTTTCCAGTGAACCCCCATACTCTTTAAATCGTGACAGGTTTTATTCTAGATCATTTTTGTAATTTTGTTATTTTCAAGCACCTACATTGTACAGCGTTTTACTAGAGACTTACAAGTTCCCTACTTTGTGAAACAAGATTTTGAGCAAAAATACCGAGAACAGGCCCAGGTCCAACATGTCGAAAACAATGTTGAAAAAGACTATATATCAGTGCTTCGAAACAGATGCCAACAGGAAAAGATCAATCGTTAGTTCTTTTTCAGCTGAAACAAACCCCAAGTTTTTATTTTTAATTAGGTGAGAGTCTCTTGTGGACAGCCAAGATTCGTGGCGATGCATCTTTGTGGAAGCGTGCACAAGAAATGGAATTAGTTTATTGTCAGAAATTGGAAGAGCTGTATCATTAAATGTTACTAATGTAAAAATACAAAATTATTCTGTGGCTATTAACTAGCCAAGTCAAAAGTGTTTCAATTTTTAATAGGCTTTCCCGGGGTTTATACGCGTATTATACATTTTTAATAACCACAGGATTGGCCGTTACTTTCCTTTAGGAATCAATTGATGCCTGAAACTTTTCTCTGTAATATTTCTAATGCGCGTTATGCCCCCTGACCAAAAATGTGAAATATTGCAGCCTAATAACCAAAGCCCTTACACAATTAGCTCTGGTTCGCAGAAATTATGTAAAATTTCACATCTGTGATTTGATTATTTCCTTAACTTTTTAAATGCTCTGACCTAGTCTGGTGTAAAATCTGAATAAAGTGGCTCTGATATTGAAACTTATGCTTAATTCTAAAACTCTTTCTCCCTTTGAGGTTATCATTTAAATGTATTTCATAGATAGAAATAAAAAAAATATTACATATAAAAGACTCAATATCAATTTTAGACGATAAAAATATTATGTATAACCCGTTTTCTAATAAATTTTTAAACACTCTTTAATTCGTCTTCTGGTGTATTTTCATTTTTAATATCACTTTTAATAATATCGGTCTTGAAGACATCACTGGTCGTTGGCAGATCCTTATTCTTTAAATTATAGTTTAATTTATGAATTTTATCACCGAAATTAGTTAAGGATGATGAAATTACCTCAATATCCTCCGGGATATTATTTGTTGCTTCGGCTTTCTTGCTTTTCCGAAATTCTTGTGCCTTTTTCTTAAATTCCTTCCTTTTCTCTTTCATCAATTTATTTCCAAGCGTGAACAATTCTTTCTAAAAAATGAATAAAAAAATATTTCATAGTTATGGAATTAAAAAAATAACCTTCTGTTCCTCCTTAATGTCCTCCCTTTCACTGAAAAGTTGCATAAACACTCCTCCTGGCGTTCTACGGCGATCTTCTTTCTTTGTAAGCATTCCACCTTGTTTCTCGACATCTTGACACTTTTTGAAAATTTCAACAGAAACTTGTTTTCCAGCTAATTCAACAGCTTTACGTATAAGAACCTTAAAATAAAATCAATTAGAAACGAAACTAGAATTCAGGCGTTACTTACCGGTTCTTTCTCACCCAACGCTTCAGCAAGTTGATTTGCCAGTTGCTCAATCTCCATATTTTCAGGATCCAACATAGTGCCAAACAATTTGTCTTTCTCATAGTCTTCCGTCACTAAACGACGCGGCAGAAACTTTGCCGGTGGAACGAACTTCTTTTGTTGTTTTTGTTGTTGATTTCCAAATTTACGAGAATGTTTAAACCGTTTATGATGCGTTCTTCCTGTGCTCCATCTATATTGCTTTTCGAGTGGAATATCTTTTGAAGTAGTGTCCACATCACCCCAAAGTTGCTTCTCATCAACCGGCTTTAGAATAATCAATTGTAATTTATTTTTTATATTAGAAAGGAGCTAAAATATTGTGGCTGGACAAATTCAGCAAAATCACCGTTAGTAAAAAATTTCCGGTCAAAATTTATCCTAGTAAAACGAGCATAGGAACTCCTATATTAAATTCCTATTCTTACAATTAGATAAAAACCTCAAATTTTGCTTCCTTGTCATTCTGTTCCTCACCTTCTTGTTTCATAAGCGTGTCGTAGATGTCGTCTGTACAACGCCTCTTTCTATTTTTAATATTAAAGTTTTTCTTTCCCAAATCTACAGCATAAGTTTCCACTCCACGGTCGCGTAATTGAGCAATAGAACTTGCATTTCCAGAAACCAACTTTTCTTCCAACGAGCGCATTACTGCTGTCTCTTCCCACAATTTTCCAGCATTTTCGGGTTTCTTATCCTGAAATCCTTTTAACATTAATGAAACAGTAAAAAACAAAACCTCAATAACATTGTCAAAAGAATCGGTCTTTGTAGGCGAATTAGAATTTATACCTTTAAGTCTTCGTTTGGCAATTATTTTAGGACGCAAATTCAAAATGTGATCCACCGAATCTTCACCGCTTTCTTCACTTTCAGACTTTTGATCACTTAAATTGCTCATCATATAATCAATACTTAAAACATAATGCTTTAAAAAATGCTTAAAATTTTAAAAAATAAATAGAATGAATAACAAATGTAATCAAAAATGTATTAAAATAAAAATTTTTTTTATTGATTTTAAAATGGAAGGTCATTATCTAAATATTGTAGCAATAAGATTATTTAGAAGTTTACAAGGGAACGTCTTGGGCTGCTTGTGAAAATTTTTTTATATTTTTTGCACCATCGTGCAGAGCAGGGTCGAAAACTTATTGAAAAAAATTTTTTGTTTTTCAGGCCCTGACCCCGAAAATTAAAAATTGTAGGGCTTCAAAGTTTTTGACTTTTGGAAATGCCTCATGATGTGCAAAAATATACAAAAATATATTTTATATTTTTGTATATTTTCCAAAAAATTTTTCACATACAGTTCAAGATGTTCCCTTATTAATAAAATTTCAACCTTTATTTAAAGTATTTCCCCATCCCCTAGGATTAATATCTTTCCATTCATCCATCCGAATTTTTGATTGTCTTTTGGTTTCATCATCTTCATCACTTTGCTCATCATTATTAGATTCAATAATTTGTCGTTTATTAGAACCAATATTTCCAAAACCTCCAGTTTTTTTCATTTCGTCAAACCATTCATCAACGCTGACAGTGGGAATACTTGGATAGCCTAAGCCAAAAACTTTCTTCTGCTGTTCTGTTCGGGTAAGTATGAATGGAGTAAATTTTGCAGGTTCTAAATTTAAGATTGAAAATAAACTTCAAAATAAAAAAAATACTTTCAACGTGGGACATATTAGAAGTTGATTCCTCAGCAACACAAGAACTAGCTTGTTCCAATAATCTCAACTCATCTAAATAAAGAAAAAAAAAATAAATTAAATTAGCCCAAAAAACTTACCATCAATGGTGTCCAATTCCTTAATTGCCCTAATTGACCAAAGACGAAGAAGAACGAAAATAACTTCGCGCTAAATTTTTAACTTTATTTTAACTATACAAGCTTAAAACCTTGGCAGCGTCATCATCGTCTCTTCTTTCCTCAATTCGGAGCTTTTCCAATGTACTTTCAAGTTGTTCCATTTGACGCAATCGAGAAATTTTTTGTTGTCGTTTTGCAGATAAATCCTCAAAACTTTCCTTTTTCAATTCAATTTTTGATGTATTTTCATCACCATTAATCCATGGAAGTTTAAAGTTGATAAGCCCGTAAGTAAGCAAATTTTGAAGGAATTCCCTGTAGCTAGCCTAAAATATATTCTGATTTGAAAATAATTGTGGAGCAGACCAAACCAATTTTTGCGGATATATTTATGCGGACTCATAATCATACTGGTCTCATAATGGTCAGAGCATCCGAACTTTCAATTTATCTATTTAATGTATTAATTGAAAGTGATAATTACCCATTATGAGTCTTTTTTTATATCTGTCCATTATGAGACCGAATATAAACATGCCTGCAAAAACTGATTTGGAATGACCCAAAAGTAGTTAAAAAAGTAGAATAATTAAAAATTACTTTTGCGGATTTCAAGTAGACGGGTCGTTTTCCAATTTCAACATTAATTTCCTGAAGAACATAAGCAAAATAGGCTGGCACAAGCAAATAACGAAGTGAAATAGTCGGCAGCTCTTCAACCTGATCATTGGTGCTGAACAATGAGAGGCTCTCTACTGTTCGGCTCATTAATTGTAATCGTTCAATACAATTTTTGAGTTTATCCTTGAATAAAATTAAACGAAACTTGTTCAGAAAAATAATTTGAAAACCTTACATTTCTTTGTTGTGATTTAGAATCTCCTAAACGGTCATGTAACAAATCTTCCACAATATTCTCACAAAATACAAATTGTTGTTGCAATGAAGGCTCGTCGTTTTCTATCATTTTGTCTTAAAATTCAAAGTTCAATTCCTAAAAATCTGTTAAAAATAGGTTTCATGACGGATTAAGCTCTTTATATTCGTTAGCTATTTTGAAATAAACATTATGACAAAAATAAAATGTAAGCTCAAAAGGCTAAAATTAAACTTGATTTGGAATGGGAAGCACCTTGCCCCAGGCAATTTTCGGCAAAACCCCGACCCGAACCGCTGCAAACCCCGAAAGTGTTTGTTGCGGCACCTTTATTTAAAAAGTACACTTGCAATGGTATAGTCACCAAATTAAAAAAGAAACAATTTTAAAAAATTTTGGTTTATTTCAACAACGAGTAAAAGGTTATAATGAGAATGAATAAGGCCAGAAAAAAGGTTATTTACATTATAGATGGCAATCTTTTTTAATAAATTTTTCATTTCTTATATTTTGTGTTAGAACTTCAATCCATTTTTTTGTTATTGGCCTGTTACTGAAGCCCTCGTACCTCCAGTAGTACCGCCCAAGAAGACGTGCGACTCAACTCCACCATGACCGTAGCTACAAAAAATTGGTTTTAAAATATTTTTGAAATTCCTCACCCGCGAGGTCCGAACAATGCTCCATAGCAGCGATTGCAATAAGGCTTGCCTTCGTGCTAAAATTAAAAAAAGAAACTTAAAGTAAGAAGAGTTTCGCTCACTTCAGAATGACCACCAGCGGAGAGCGTCTTCTTACATGCTTGATTGTAGCAGCGAAGGCATGGTCGATGCCAGTCCTTCCCAATGGAAGTAACACGTTCGGCTAAATAAAATTGAATAAAATATTAACTTAAAAGCTTTAAGCAAACCAAAATAGACTGGGCGGTTACAAGTAGGACAATCTGGCATATTGTTATTGTTTAGAACACGAGTGAGTGTTAACGAGTTGCTTAATTAGAAAAATTTAGAAATTTGAAAAACTCATTATCTCGCAAAATTAAATAAATCAATAAATGAAAAATTAGGACCGAAGACAGATAAGTTTCAAATGAAAAAGTTTAATCTCTTTTATAGTAAAATTTTTGGCATTGTGAACGAAAAGAAATCGAATGCCAAACGAATTGATTTATTTGAAAATTTCAATTTTTCTTCAGAAATGCCCCGAAAAGTCTACTTATTGTTCATTTCTCTTGTTATAGGACCAAAAACTAATTTAAAATTTTAGGGAACAAAGATAAGCAAAGGAAAGCATTGTATTCGTTTTGTACGAGAAAAAAGAGCCAATTCTTTCCACACGTATTTTATTTAAAAAAGAATAATCGTGGCGATCAATGGCAATAAAATTTTTTTAGGTGAAACAGGGTCATAAGTATGTGAATAATATTTACATGGGTGTCAAAAATGGGGATTTTTAGGTTGATAATGGGTGTCAATCCTAAAGACCTACAACTTTTGAAAGAGAATATCAAAAGGAAATATCGAGGGATTTGGAGGGATTAAGCGGATATCGATGGATTTAGTGTGATTGAAGGGGATAGAGAACCCACCCATAGTTATGATAGCGGTAACATTGGTTCTAAAATGCAGACCGGGTACTTAACTTCATTGAATAGTGTATTTATCCCCCATAATCCCTCTAAATCCTTCGATATTCGCTTTAAAAATTTGTAGGTATTTTGGGGTGACTCTGATAATGAGGAAACGGAAAAAAATAATTAGCAAGAAAGCAAAATTTTGGAATGAAGTGTCAATTATGATGCAAGAATTAGAACGCAGAATAAAAAAACTTATGGATATCGGATTTGTGGGGAATGCTTTTCCCTTTTCACTTAATGCTTTTTTGTTTTCTTTATTATTTGCCAGCGAGTTTCTTCTACTAAATGGGCGCGGGATTTGTTAGAAAAACAACGGGTACTAGCTAACTGCAATATTCAAAAGATCAACTCCTAGAAAAATATTTGTTTAACACACGCAGTGAACTGGAGAGATAGTTGAGTATATCCTGAACTAATAATATATGATGATAATTATAAAAATGATAAAAAAATGACAAGAATGATTGAGCGAATGATAGTGAAAGCGAAAATAAAAAAGGAACTTTGTTAAAGTCGTTGAGAATAGAGAATTTTGAGATAAAACTGCTTATTTCTACGCTTTTTGTTAAAAGAAAGACCCCAATATTATGTTAGATATTTGGGGAGTTTAATAAAGTGTAATAAAAACCATCAAGGAATTTGTGGCCAATGACCACATAACATATGGCTTTATTTAAAAGGTTCAATCTAAATAAAATTTATGACCAAATGCTTTTAAACCAAAAAATTTAACAAAATAAAACTAAATGTATACAAAACCAAATAAAAAATAGAAAAATAGTTTTAAAAAAGTTAAAAAAAACTATACAAAAAACGTGGGAAAGTGTGGAGTCGTGGAGAGATTAGGCGGGAAACAATGAACAATAACAACAATGATGTGTAGAAAGTCCTCGATAGGAAAGTAAAAAACCAGTATTTTTGGGACTGTCACATCTTTACGCATATAAAATTTTTTTGTTTGTTTGAAGATGAGGAAAGCTGTAAAAAATTGATGAAAAAAAAGAGGACAAAATAGTAAAAAAATCAGGGATTAAGAACTGGAGAAAAAAAGGAAAATTCAAAAATTATAGGAAGACCTCTACTGAGTTCCGATTAAACTGAGTTCCGGCCCTATTGACTTATGAAGGAATGTGTACCTCTTAATGTTCTTGGTATCATTGTATAGAGAATTAAATACACTACAAGATAACAAAAAATCAAAATTTTTGACTGATCGGTAAAAAAGTTAAGATCGATAAAGTGCCGAAGAATCACATTTTTTGAGAAAGTTAGTTTTTAAATCTTAACTTTTTTATCAATCAGTCGGAAATTTTGAT